AGTAGTTGAGCCCGTCGACCGCCGCACTTACCTCGAGAGTCTCTTCAGTGTTGATGGCTTAGTGTGTGACGAAATCTCAGCACAGATACAGAAAGCTCGATTGGCTGTTGTCAGTTTACGTCATTTATGGTGTAGGTGAGATATCAGACTGCTAACCAAAGGACGAGTGTACTGCGCGTCAGTTCCCTCCGTCCTACTTCATGGCTGCGAAACATAGCCGGTAAGAGTAAACGATATTCGTAGGTAATGAGTATTTGTTTATAGATGTCTTCGAAGCATTGATCGTATATCCTGAGACAACTGAGTAAGAAGGGCTATTGTTAAGAAACGACTAATGACAAATGAATAGACTGAGTATGGAAACTCTATCAGTTGAGGTGTTTGAGTCATTTGTTACGTATGCCCAGTCACCGACTGCCTCAATGAGCTATGTTTTGTGTAGGAGTAGGTTGGAAGAAAGCTAGGGACGGCCAAACCAAAATGTGGCACAAATCCATGATGCCACTGACAAGTGGACTAAGTAATGCTAGTAGATGTAGACTACGTGGTTGGGGTCGATGAGACGATAATAACCGATGGTTAGAGACCCTGAATAACATGGCTGAAAATCGTTTACAATGGTGCAAGTAAGTCCACTCTTTGTGTTCTCTCAAATATTAGTATCTGTATTCTTTATCACCACTATCTTTCTCTTTCTAAATTTATATCACTGGACTATACTTCTTGATTAATATCTTCGAACCCTGATCTTCACCAGTATCGCTAATACTTCTGTTAACTCAACCACCATGGGATTTGCTTTGATAATTTCATCTTTGTGCTAATGTCATATCGCAACCTGAACTGATGCACATACGTATAAAGTTATACGTTTTTGTAACTGACTGATTGCATGGATTCAATAAACCTTGAATTCAACTTGTAAATCAATAGAATGATCGAAAAATTACCTTTACAAGGAAAGACCTCTCTTAACCACTTTGTTACCGATAGAGAATGACACTGTAAACAAAAAATTTTACGAGACTTTGATTGTTTTAGAATAAACCTATTACAATTTTTTTTCCCTAATTAATTGAACTAGGTTGAGGACAATTCATGTTAATTATTCAAATAAAAAAATTTATTCTATACTGTTTTATTTGTTATATTGTAAATAAATGTTTGTTTTTAGAAATTTCTGGAGGTACAGTTTGGTCTACTTTTAATTGTTTTAGTAGTGCATTTCTATTACGTTTGTTTTAGTATTTTAAACAAGCAGACCACACAAACGACCTTGAACGAATTATCAGCCAATCCGGAAGCATCATTTAATTATCAAACAATTAACAATATATAGCGATTAAAATATAATGAAATAATGGTTTTGACAGGATTGATTGCCCTTCACATGTTTAAATATTCATTGTGCTGAATAAAAACAGACTATAATCTAAATTTTGTCAAGTTGGCTAATGTTTTAGGTTAGAGTTATAACAATAGATGATTTTTAAAACAAAATGATATTGACTAGAATGAAATGAGGTTTAATCAACAATTGTGGAAAATAAAATAAATTTTTGATCATCGTTTTATAAATAATTTGGAAACATATGTATAAGTATATGAAATTTTGATGATTTATTTTATACCCTAACAGGCTTGAACTCCATTGGTCACGACCGCTGACTGGAATTCAAAGAAACATCCTCACGGAGTCAGTCACTTTAGCTCCTCGCGGGAATCAAACCTAGGAACTATGGCTTATGTGCTCAATAGTGACTTACTTCGTGAGTAAATTTCTCCGAGTTCTAGTTAGAAGTCGTGATCAGTGGATTTCAACACTGCCAAGTGTGAAGCATTTCTCGTTGAAAGCAGTGAATGAGGTTATGCAAGATCACGGATTGTTCGAAGTTAGACAGCAACACCAGTGGATGCCACCTCGGTGGTTTGGTGATTAAGCGAACGTACTCAAGCCTGAAGTTTATGTGTTGGATTCCTGAGAGGTGAATGAGCTGTGGAGGCGCACTGTTGATGAATCCCATACCATGACGAAACAACAGTCTTTCAGTAGGTCTAAATTTAATTATTTCTTGATTTCAAATTAACTAAACAATTACCACGACCCTATAATGAAAATATCTTTTATAATCTATACATGTTCTGAGTAGTTTATTTAGTTTCTGTCTATGAATACGACTAAACGGATTTCAGGTAACTCTTTCACATTTTACATAACTGATTTAATTTTTAATTCTGTTTTACGTTATCATAAAAAGTCTATTCTACTTAAAGTCTACGGTTGAGTTTAAAACAATCTCAATAATCCTCAGATTGAAGAAAAAGAACATTACTATAATCAAGTATTTAGAGGTTTTCATATTAGTGAATTTGTTTACAGATTTATCTGTGTGCAAACTGAACAAACGACGACATACACTTACACTCTCTTATGACGATATCTAGAAGTCCTTAAACGAAACACCATCATAATCATCCACCTGACCTACAAATTTCCCTCATCAACTCAAATAGTGTTTAGGGTTAGGATTTAGACTTTAAGGTTAAGTTTAGAGAATCCGGTTTGGGAGTGATGTTTTAGTCAAGTGTATATAAAATTACTTACCTACTTACTTACTTACTTACTTACTTACTTACTTACTTACTTACTTACTTACTTACTTACTTACTTACTTGCTTACTTACTTACTTACTTACTTGCTTACTTACTTACTTACTTACTTACGCCTGTTACCCCCAATAGAGCAAAGGCCGCCCACCAGTTTGCTCCAACCAACTCTGTCCTGGGCTTCCCACTCCAGTTCTGTCCAATTTTTTCTCATTCCTCTCATATCTTTCTCTGTCTCTCAGCGTAATGTGTTCCTTGGCCTTCCTATTTTCCTTTTGCCTTCAGGGTTCCATTTGAGGGCTTGTCTTGTGAGGCAGTTAGGTGCTTTTCGTCCTCCTCCACTGGAATCTGGTTTGTTCTCTCCCACAGTTCGTTGTTGCTGATCGTGTCTGGTCAACGAACCCGAAGTATTTTGCGAAGACAACTGCCAATGAGTACTTGTATCTTCTAAATGGTGGCTTTCGTAGTTCTCCAGGTTTTCGCCCCATGCAGTAGAACTGTATTGATAATGCTGATTATGGTGTTGATTGATATTTGTTTGGAGTTCCAGATACTTTTCAATTGTAGAAGTGCAGTCCCTGCTTTGTCGATCCGCGCCCTCTTATACAAATCGGATCCACCTTTCTCGTCGATGATGCTGCCCAGATATGTAAAGGTATCAACGTCCTCCGAAGAATCTCCATCAAGCGTCATTTGGTTGACGCATGTTGTGTTGTATCTTGGAATCTTACTTTTCCCTTTATGTATGTTGAGGCCTACTGCTGCTGAGGCTGCTGCTACACTGGTCGTCTTCTCTTGCATTTGTTGTTGCGTTTGAGATAGAAGAGCCAGGTCATCTGCGAAGTCCAGATCGTCCAGCTACATCCTAACTGTCCAGTTGATACCGTGCTTCCCTCCAGATTTTGACGCCTTCATAATCCAGTCGATCATCAGGAGAAAGAGAAATGGTGATAGTTAGAAACCTTGCCTGACACCGGTCATCACCTCGAACGAGTTTGTTAGCTGTTCTCCGTGCACGATTTTGCAGTTTAATCCATCATAAGAATGGGCCAGTTTAATTGTTTGATCAATTCAAATTAGGTAGCACTGAGCATCTGTGCCTTATGGTTTTAAATCTTTTGATAACTATACAAAGGTAGCTTTGCTGACATCTTCCCTACGTGAAATGCAAAAAACACCAATCTTTTCAATTTTTACGTAGAAATCGTGAATTGATCATTTTTAAACCTCCATCAGAAACTTGGAAGCACTGAAGGACGGCCGTTTCGTTCTAGTATCGGACTCTTCAACAGTGCGCCCAGCCCTCACGCGTTAGCTAAACACAAGAGATGTGATTTGGCGAGCGAATGCTTATCCTCCAGACTACTACGTCGGTATCCAACAGTATCAATGTCTAATTTCGATCAATTTACGTATACTGCTGGACTTCACCCATTGTCTTTGGTGGGTAACAGCCTACTCTCAACAGGGTTGAACTTTATCAACAAAGGCTTCTTGCCAGAAATCCAAGAATTACCTAATGAAGTTAGTCATTAGTAAGCAAACTTTACGATTTTGCAATATAGACCTAGGAAGATTGTTGTTTTCAGTCAGTCAACAACAACATAGAACCTCGCACGTACATGCATTGGTTCCAGTTGTCATAGCATATCAGCACACAAACACAAGTTTCAGTTCAAATACCATAGTAGTAGAGGCAGTAGAAATATTATAAGTGATCATCAGAAGTTTAGGATTTGAGACAACACAAAGAATGAATGCAGCTGCGCCACTGCAAACGATTTTGAGCTATGTAATTCAGGGTCTCTAACCATCGATTACTATCATCTCGCGGGCTTCAACCTGCTAGTCGCCACCTACCAACATGACTCAGTCCACTTGTCAGTGACTTCATGGATTCCTGCCATGTCTTGGTCTGGCTGCCCCTAGCTTTCACCTAACCTACTCCTACACTACAAAACATTGCTCGACGAGGCAGTCGGCGGTTTGGCATACGTAACACATGTTTCAACCACCTCGACTATTGAAGTTTCAATACTTCATCTACTGATCTGTCACCTTTACCTAGTACCCATTCCCTAACTATTCGGCTTTCCGAGGACACGAAGGTTAGCGAAAACCTATGAATCCGTCTGTATTCGTGCTGATATTTCCTCAGTCACCAATCAGGTCATCAGCACTAATGAGACAAATAATCAGTCATCTGTTAGTTATGTAGCTGGAGTGCTACAAATAATTAGATTATTGTTTTATATTGGCGATCGTAAATCAATCATTTTAAATTGTTGCACAAAAAAAAACAAAAGTCAATTCCTCAGCTCCAACTGGTCCGTCTCTAAACCATACTATCACCACGTGTTGTGCTTTTTGTTTCTATTCTTTTCTCTCATAGATAATACAAATGTAGCGAATAACTCTGTACTAACAACACAAACTCAATATATGAATATTGATAGAGAAAATGTCATTAAATCTAAAAGCAAACGTAAACGTAGACAACCATATAGTAGTGTATCATGTTTCACATCTTATCCCAATTGTTGTTGTCATTATATGCATGCATTGAACATGATTTGTCATCAATCAATCAATCGTCAATTTCATTCAAACAATTTAAATGGTCAACAATATTATCACCATAATCATCAAAATCATCAGAATTCTAATAATATTTTCGATAATTCAAATCAATCACAGGATCATATTGTTGATAACAATAAACTACCTCAAAGAAGTCATACATTTCATACTAAATCATTGTCAAACAATAACAATAATTCAATCACATTCAAACAAACCGCAAATTCTCATCAACATCACTATGTTCAATATTATTCACCTCCATTAATTTATCAGCATCAGCATCAGCATCCGCATCATCATGCTTTGCCAATCAATCGATCAATGATGAATACAACATCGCCACCGTTTACATTGAAACATTTATCAACTATACGTAGTAAATATGAACAATATGAATATTCCACAAAATTCGATGATAAAAGTCCAATCAATAATAATCATAATCATAATAATCATAATAACAGTGAAATAACTCATATTGACAATCAATTCAACGTGGACTTATCCTTATCATCTCCATTGTCAGCTTATCATCGACCAAGATTTTATAGTAGTAATATTGTTTTATTGAAGACATCATCATCATCATCACCATGTACAAAGAAATGGAAATATATCACAGAACATATACTTTTAAGTAAATCTATCAATGATGATAGTCAAATGAAGAAACGATCCAATTCTTGGTCAGCTCATCATCATCATCATCAACATCAACATTATGGTGTTCAACAACATTGTGGTATGATTTAGAAAATAATGAAAGCATTTCTTTTAAAATTAGATAATTTTTATGATTATTATTATTATTGCTATTCATTTGTTATTAAATGATCAGTCGCGGTCATTTATATAAATGATTTAAGCGGTACTTATTTACGCCTCCTGTTATCCTCAAAGGAGAATAGACAGCCGACCAATATTCTCCAACCTACTCCGTCCAGGGCTTATCTTTTTCAGTTCTATTCAATTTTTGTTCATCCTACTTATGTCTGTCTCCATTTCTCGGCATCAAGTTGCATGTACAATCTCTCATAAACGATTATTTTTATTCTATAGTTACTAAGTACCTTTTTTGGAATATCATGCATTCATATAATCTAAGCTACGTTTAACCGGTTATAAAAGATGCCAAAAAAAATGCGTTTTGTTTTTTATGTACAAAACGACTGGCTTCATATTGTAAATAATTTCATCCTTCACTCTATATGTGAAGCTTTATACTGGCTTATTGATTTATGATCAGATACGATCAGATAAGCGTATCTATTGTCATACAATTTAGTATATCTTATATTATGTTCGGATAGTTATGAGTAATTCAAAGGATGTGGGCTGAAACAATAAATAAACTGTCTAGCTTACAGAATACAACACCAAAATATTTAATCAGACATAGTAGGCCGTTAAAGTTGTTTCCAAATGGCATCCTCTTTGGATATATATACAGATTGTGTTTAGTAACAGAAACCGTCAGCACGTTTCGTCTTTAGTGGGAATCATAACTTAGATTTAGTATCATCCCCTACTGATGTTCAGAATGAGATTCGTACCGACTACGTATTGTTTTAAAGGCCAATATAAAAGACTAAAGTATTGGTATGAACTAGAGTGATTTTGAAAATGGTTTTGATGGTATAAAGGCAATTTTTACACAACCACAGAACACTAACGATGCTTATCCATGACATCTGCTTGCAAGAATCGAACTCAAGACCTTCGGCCTCTCATGCGGACGCTTAACCTCTAGACTACTGAGCAGACATCCGACGGTGTTAATGTCCAACTTCGATCAATCCAAGGTCTTGCGCAACCTCATCCATGGCCATTCAGCGCATTCAGGTTTCTAATGGTGGTCCAACATTGATCCATTCCTGATTTCTAGGCAAAACAGAGAACAGGCTATAAAATTAGCTGTTTTTTTGTGAAAAAGTTACTTACTTACTTGCTTACGCCTGTTACCCCCAATGGAGCATAGGCCGCCCACCAGTTTTCTCCAACCAACTCTGTTCTGGGCTTCCCACTCCAGTTCTGTCCAATGTTTGTTCATTCTTCTCATATCTTTCTCTATTTCTCGGCGTAATGTGTTCCTTAGCCTTCCTCTTTCCCTATGGCATGAGGGTTCCATGTGAGGGCTTGTATTGTAACGCAGTTAGGTGCTTTTCGTTGTGTGTCCTATCCACTTCCACCACTTCTTCCTGATTTCCTCATCCACTGGAATCTGGTTTGTTCTCTCCCACAGTACGTTGTTGCTGATCGTGTCTGGTCAACGAATACGAAGTATTTTGCGTAGACAGCTGTTAATAAACACTTGTATCCTCTGGATGATGGCTTTGGTAGTTCTCCAAGTTTCCGCTCCATACAGTAGAACTGTCTTCACATTTGTATTGAAAATCCTTATTATGGTTTTGGTTGAAAGTTGTTTGGATTTCCAGATATTTTTCAACTGTAGAAATGCAGCCCTCGCTTTGCCAATCCGTGCCCTCACATCTGCGTCCGATCCACCTTTCTCGTCGATGATGCTGCCCAGATATGTAAAAGTGTTGACGTCCTCCAAGGCATCTCCATCAAGAGTGATTTGATTGGTGTATGTTGTGTTGCATCGGAGAATTTTGCTTTTTCCTTTATGTATGTTGAGACCTACTGCTTCAGAGGCTGCTGCTACACTGGTCGTCTTCTCTTGCATTTGTTGTTGAGTGTGCGATAGAAGAGCCAGGTCATCTGCGAAGTCCAGATCGTCCAGCTGCGTCCTAACTGTCCAGTTGATACCGTGCTTCCCTCCAGATTTTGACGCCTTCATAATCCAGTCGATCATCAGGAGAAAGAGAAATGGTGATAGTTAGAAACCTTGCCTGACACCGGTCATCACCTCGAACGAGTTTGTTAGCTGTTCTCCGTGCACGATTTCGCAGTTGAATCCATCATAAGAATTCCGTATGATGTTGACTATTTTCTCAGGCACACCGTAGTGTCGAAGAAGACTCCACAGTGTTTTCCTATCCACGCTATCGAATGCTTTCTCGTAGTCGATGAAGTTGATGTAGAGTGGTGAGTTCCATTCTATTGATTGTTCCACAACGATCCGTAATGTAGCGATTTGGTCAGTACATGATCGATCCTTCCGAAATCCGGCCTGTTGATCTCGAAGTTGGGCGTCTGCGAAGTCCGTCATTCTGTTTAACAATACTCTGTTGAAGACTTTGCCTGGTACTGAAAGCAGAGTGATGCCTCTGTAGTTCTCACACTTGCTGAGATCGCCTTTCTTTGGTATTTTGATCAGGTATCCTTCTTTCCAATCTGATGGTGCTTGTTCCTCATCCCAAATCTTCTTGAAGAGAATGTGAAATGTTTTCGCAGTTGCTTCTACATCTGCTTTCATTGCCCCTGCTGGAATGTTGTCTGGTCCTGCTGCTTTGCCGCTCTTGATTTGTCTGATGGCCATACTGATCTCCTCAATTGTAGGTGCGCCAATATTAATTGGGAGGTCCGTAGATGCTGCTTTGATGTTGGGGTGTTCAGGGAGCTGGTCGATTCAGTAGTTCCTTAAAGTGCTCTACTCACCTATTTCGCTGTTCGTCAGTGTTGCTGATTACTTTGCCTTCCTTGCTTTTCACTAGTCATTCTGGTTTACGAAAGTTTCCGGCTAGCTTCTTTGTAGTTTCGTACAATTGTCTCAAGTTTCCTTCTCTTGCCAGCTTTTCCGCCGTCATTGCTAGATCTTCCACATATTTTCGTTTGTCAGCTCTGATGCTCTTCTTCACTTCCCTGTTTGCTTCTGTATACTCGGCTTGCGCCTTAACTTTCTCTGCTCTTGTTCGGCTGACATTCATCTGCTGACTTCTTGTTCCTCCTTTCTTGAATTTTTTCAAGAGTACCAACAGAGATCCATTCCTTGTGATGGTGCTTCTTGCGACCAAGGACCTCCTGACATGTTGAAGTGATTGCCTCCTTAATCCCTTTCCAATTGTTCTCCAATGTTGCTTCCTCTCCATTGAGTAGATCCTGAAAGGCCTGGAACCTATTGGTGAGGGCTATCTTGAATTCGTTGAGTTTTACGGTATCCCGAAGAAAGGCCGTATTAAACTTGTGTGATGTTGTCTGTCCCGTTGTCCAGTGCTTCTTTAGCTTCAGTTTCATTTTGGCGATCAGCAAATGGTGATCTGAAGCTATATCAGCTCCTCTCCTGGTTCTCACATTCTGTTGATACAGATATGATCAATCTGGTTTTGAGTAGTGTGGTCCGGTGAAATCCATGTGGCTATGTGTATGCGTTTGTGAGGGAATATTGTGCCACTGATGACCAGTTTGTTGAAGGCACATAGGTTTGCAAATCTCTCATCGTTTTTGTTCGTTTCTCCCAGTCCATGTCGTCCCATGATGTCTTCATATCCAGTGTTGTCCATTCCAACCTTGGCATTCAGGTCTCCCATAAGAATCGTCAAATCCTTTGGTGAACATTTATCGACGATTGACTGCAGCCTTTCGTAGAATTGATCTTTATCGTCGTCATTGTAGTCATTGGTAGGTGCATAACATTGGATGACGTTCATTGTAATGTCCGCTTTCTTTGTTTTGAAAGATGCTTTGATGATCCTGGGTCCATGAGATTCCCATCTTATTAGCGTCTTTTGTGCATGTTTGGAAAGCATCAGTACAACTCCTTGTGTATGTGAAGCATTTTTCTCTTCATGATCAGAGTATAACAGCAGTTCCCCTGAAGCTAGTCTCAGTTGTCACACTTGTGTCCGATGTGTTTCACTGATTCCAAGCACCCGAGGTTGTATCTTTTCATTTCTGCCGCAACTTGAAATAGTCTTCCAGTCTGCCACAATGTACGAACGTTCCATGTACCTAAATGAATGGTTGCTCTGGTTCTCAGATAGGGCATCGGCCTCGTGACTTCCGAGGGAACTCGGCTTTCATCACACGACGTCATATCTTCTTCCAACTCCCAGGGCAGAGATAAAGTAGTTTGGATTATTCTGTCTGGTTAGTGTTTTCCTGGCAATTTAGATTTCGATGGAATGGGGTCGCCAACCCCATGTCCAACCGTCTTCCTTTACCCGGGCTTGGGACCGGCAGTAGCTCCGAAGGTTCTACTGGCGGAGTTTTTTTTGTGAAAAAACTAATGCAAAATAAAATCGCATTGATTTTAAAATTGTAAGATGATTTGAGGATTCTTCAAAGTTAAAATAGAAGTTTATCGAGATTCGAAATACAAAAAATCACCAAATGAATAGGCATACGAATAAATTCTTCCACTAGCTATCATATTAGAGAAATCAGTTTTTCAGCTGTACTTATATTTTCTTAACACTGTATAGATTAATCCTAACTCTTAACTAGCTTTATTTATTTACCCCTGTCTTATCCAATGGTCTTTTTCTCTGTAAGCGCATTTTTTTAAAATATTTTCTTAGAAATTAGTAGTAATATAATCGATACTGAGCACACTTAAGTGAACTGCATGTTGTTAATTTAAAGCTACATTTCGATTCTTGATTGGCTTGTGCATCCTAACAAGTCACTCATCAAGCAAGTAATACAGGAAAGTTACTCACTTGTTAAAACAGTTATGCAGCTATGTAAAACAGTTGGTCGATCTACCTGGTAAATACTCATTTTACTGTTAATCACAATACAAAATAAAAATGAAAATTTGCAACTTACCAATAACATCGAGTTAATCTTATTAGAGAACATTTATCTTGATAAGCACTGGTCAGTCGGGGCCAAGTTTATAAATGATTTAAACGTTACTTACTTACTTACGCCTGTTATCCCCAACTGGAGCATAAGCAACTGACCAATATTCTCCAGTCTACTCCGTCTAGGACTTCTCTTTTTCAGTTCTATTCAATTTTTGTTCATCCTACTCATGTCTGCCTACATATCTCAGTGTACAGTCGTATGTACAGTCACCTAAAAAACTATCGTTATTAAATTTCAAGTTTTTATTCATGTTACAAAAAAGTACTATATATAATTAATTAACCAAAGTAAACTGATATGTAAGTGACTTTGATTCGTTTGTTTGTTTGTTTTTCTTCTAAAACTTATTTTTCCTTTCAAGACAAGAATGAAAATTCAAACGATATGGAAAGTGATGATGAATTTAACACACATGGAACTGGAAGGTAATTTTAGTGTTCTATTTTCTTTTATTGTTATTTTTATTTAATTATATATTTAATCAATGAAAAATCAGTACCTTTTTCATGAATTCATTCTATCTAAGTAATAAATCTCACAATGTATATGATTTTATATATATTTCAATTGAGAAGATACTGTGGTGTGAGCTACTTACTTATAAGTAGTATATGACGTAAGTGTCAACGTAATGTCTGGCAGAAGAAGATGGGGGAAGATCAAGAAAGGAAGAGGAGTTAGAACACAATGGAATTTGTATGAAATGCATGAATAGTGAGTGACAATGGATTGATGTTTTGCAACAGGAACAGTCCAGTTCGATAATATGATGAACTGATATTTTGCAAATGAACGATTTAAGATATGGTTTTCCGATTTCACTGAGTAACTCTGTAATTTTCGTTAAATACAATCTGGTTGCCCCACCTGTGTTCTCGTCCACTACAAAACATCTTAGAGAAAAGTGTTCATAACCAGCTACATATCAGTCGACTTTAGCTGACTAACATCACACGATGTTTAATTACTTAAATAATTGATTACATTATCAAATGTGATCGATTGCACTGAAAACACTGATATTTTTCAAATTAATGAAAGGAAATCGTGTCATTCGAATAGATTGAGTTCATTGAAAGTCGCCAGTGAGATTATATCACATCATATGACTAAAAACTTAAAATGAACCTTTTCAGACGAATTTTTTATTATTAAAAAACTTACATATCCCCAGAAAATGGATTTTTATGAAGAAACAATGCACTTTACAAAGAGAAAATGAGATCACTAGTCTAACAATTAAGTGAATCAATAGATTTTACCTGTATCAGAAAAGCGCTTACTATTTCATCTTGATCTCAATAAATATTGCCTACATTCACGATAGTTTACAATGAAAAATTTAGCAACAATTCAGCATCGCTGATTTTTTTTCATCAGCTGTGAACGTCAACATCGCTCACATCAGTTCAAATCGATTCGCTTTCAAAGTTTCTGCTCGTTTTCAAATTATCGATAGCTGCGTAGGAAACAAGCATACATCACACTGAAGGATGTAGAATGTCTAACTCAATTTATAGAAGCAGAATAAATAACACCGATCAGTTCAAGTACATATCTCTGCATATGATTAAAAAATCAATAATCTTGGTCGCATCATAAAATCTTAGATTATTGTATAATTTAACTAAACAGCCATATGAGACACTAATCAAATCGAATTGACAAAAAAATGAAATAAATAGTTAAACATAATATTACTTACATTAATAATAATGATAATAGTTACAAACAAATATTGAATAAACAGTGCAAATGTTAGTAAACCATCATGTGACATTAAAAAATAACATAATGGAAGGAAGCTAGAGGCGGTCAGACGAAAACGTCGCACAAATCCATGAAGCCACTGACGACTGTCCTAAGCCATGTCCATAGGTATAGACTGCCAGGTTGAGGTCCGCTAGACAATCGTAACCGACCGTTTGAAACCTTGAACGATATGGCTCAAAATCGTTCGAAATGGTATAGGTGCGTCCATTCTTGGTGTTCTCCCTAGTTCTAATGTTTTTAAATTCCTCATCAGCGTTGTCTTTCTCTTTTTAAATTTATTTCACTGGGTTATAATTCTTGAATACTTTCTTCTAACGCTTATCTTCTCTAATACTGCCAATACTTCTACTAGATCTACCGAAATGGGATTTCAATTGACAATTGCATTAGCGTACTAATGTGGTATGACAACTTGAACTGACCTGCGTACGTACCAAGTTCTACATTGTAGCTGACTATGTGAAACAACATAAATGGAATAAAATGAAATCATCCAAATGGATGCCAATGTACTTGATTGAGTTGAAGTATCCAATAATGATAGAAAGAATCAAGAAGTGGTCAAAATATCTGGAAAATTTACGAGATAAAGATTTCAGATTTCAAAGATGCTTCAAATAGTATTAACAATAACAAATTGATAACAGCATATCTTATCTTAGAAAATACTGATAAAGTTGATTGATTTTTTTTCGGTGATAACTATCTGTTGATGAAAAGTAAGAGATGTCATGAAACTACTACAGATATCAAGGACACAAAGCAGAAAATAAAAGAACTGAATAACCATCAAGCACTCAGATAGCAATTAATCGTCTATAGCTTGAGTATTAAGTATTTTTATTTTAAGCAAGCCATATTTAGCTAAAATTATCACTCACTGGTCAAGCATGAATCCTCCTATGAAGTGGTTACTTAAAATACAGTCTAAATGTTAGTGACCTAAGCACAGACTACATAAATTTTCATAGTTCAGATTGATATTGAACACTTTTCATGAATCATCATAGATCGATTAACAGTAAGTCTGACTGACAAGATTCCGTGATAGTCGGGTAATTACTACAACGCTATATTTTGTTTTAATGCTCATCTTTTATTCAATGGCATTTCATTTACGTGTTAAGACGGAAGTACTCTAATTATCATTACAGGGTTATGGAGATTATTGAGTTTCAATGAAATCATGAGTTGATCCATTTTAGGCCACCGTTAGAAACCTTGGGGGGCTAGATCGCCATTCTGTGCTGGTTTGGGACTCATCAGCAGTGTGCATCCAAGACCGCCACACGCAGAAACCGAACGCAGGACCTTAGGTGTCATGCACGAACGCTTAACCTCTGGACTGCTGAGACACATACTAGGAAGAAACGGCAGTCAAGTTCCTTCAGGATTCTAATGGTAGTCTAACATTGATCAATCCATGGTTTTAATGAATTTCTTTATATAATGGCTAACATTTAGCTTCAAATACGTAAAAACATATATCCAATGAAGTGGTTTCGTTAAGATTTATTTTAATCTGTTGGTGGTATTTATCAAGAAACCGTCTCATTTCGAGTACTATTAACAATAAGAGAGTGTTGCATATGTGTTTCTTCCTAATATGAGACATGTCAGTGGTGCACACCCAAAATCCTATTTAGAATGGAATACAGAAGCTTCCGGTTTTTGGGCAACTACTCGTTAGGAGTCTTCCACTAAAACAAAACAAGCTTACTAAACTCTTTATTTATCAATGGTAGTTCATCTTAGATCGACTGATGTTGAACACAACCAATAGATTGAGTTTTAAAGATAAAATTTATCAGAAAGTAAATTACATTTCTTTTTCATCATTCTTTTTTTTCATTATTAGACCATCCGATTGTGAATTCAATATTCCATTCGCTGATATAAAATTACTGAAATGTTTACAAAAAGGTGAACGTAAAGCAATTTATAAGTAAGTTCATTCAATGTGTTCAATTGAAAATATTAATCTGCATTCATGTTAATTGGAATTTTTTTGATTGTCATGATAATAAATAGTAGCTTACTTCTAATTTTAAATTATCCATGAGATTTTTTATGTCACACGGTGCTTGTTCACAATTCATTGACAGTCATTTGTGTTTTATGTAAATGAGAATACAATTGCCATTGATTAGAATGATAAAATTGAGATCTGATGTTATACAAAGATGAAATAAGTTGGTGATGTCTACAAACTTTGAAGTCTACCTGTTAAAAGTAAATTATTTCTTTCACTGTCTAAAATCGAATATACCTATGACATTATGGCGATGACATGATTTGGTTTGATTAGGATTCTGACAAAACGCAAAGTCTTCTAACCACGTTAGACAAAATTACAAACATGCTCGGGATACGGTTCTACTCCTTTAAATGTAAAATATTGCTTTAGAATAGGCTTTCATCTGCACCTCAACTATTGATAGGAAGTGAAGCAGTTGAGCAATCAGGAGCTTCACTTTTGTTGGGAGATTCATCAGTGCTGATGGTTGCCTGGTGTGTGACAAAGTCTCGACACGGATATAAAAGATTCGATTCGCTTTGATGAACTCACGTAATTTATGGCGTAGGTGAGATATCCATCTGCTAACCAAAGGACGACAGTACTGCGCGTCAATTCCCTTCGTCCTACTATATGGCCGTAAATAATGGCTACTAAGAATAAAGGATATTGACAGGTTATTAGTATTACATCGTAGGTATCTTAGATGGATGTCCCACATATCATGGGACCACTGAGTAAGCAGTGAAGTAGTGATGAAAGTGGTACTGCAAAAGGATGGTAAATAAATTGATGAAGTAATGAATCTTCATCATTTCAGGTGGTTGGGACATGTGTTTTCTGCCAACAAAAATATGGCACAAATCCGTGAAGTCGTTGACAAGTGGACTGAGTCATGTTAATAGTTGAAGACTGCATGGTTAGCGTTCGCGTAACAACCGTAATCGGTAGTTAGAGACTTTGAATGGTGCTCTACCACTAAAGGATTTGAATAGACAATTTTATCTGCCGGTAGTAAGTACGTAACAAGTTCTATGCCTCAACGGACTGGTTACATGTTGAATGAGAGCATGTTTATTGTTTCAAACAGAAGAAAGAAGACTAGCAATACATCATAAATTCCATCATGATATTATGAGAAATAAACCATATTACAAATTTGTTAAAATGATTTTTGTAAAGATAGGTTTTAAATGCAGATTTTATTCAACGAAGCTTGATCTTAGTTATGGTCCTTTTGTTCGAAGCTGTCACTAAATTGTTCGTCGTCGATTTATTCAGTCTACTGGTTGAACACTCATTTCGTGATGGAAATGTCGTAGATTTAATCCCTATTGTTTAACTAACTATAAAAACCTAGAAACACTGAGCAGCCATTTCGTTCTAGCAGTGTGCATCCAACGAACGGGGGTTCCATACTAGGACGAAACGGCAGTCCTTCAGTGCTTCTCAATTTCTATTCGTGGTCCAACAATAATTGATTCACGATTCCAGTTTAAGAGAACAATCCTCATATGTAATATCGCTAACCAATCATGCAATCCTGTAGACAAGATCTATTCACTTATATTCTACTTGATTTCAAAAAATAACTTTTATACTACTGAGAAAACAATTACATAATTTAATTAAAATGAACTGAAACTAGTGAGAAAATAAAATTCTACTTTCAAAAAATGAAAAAATACTGTTGAATATACCTGTACATAACATAGTTTACATAAATTAAGTGAAGGAGATTAAATATAGAGTGAGACATTGAAAAACACAAACAAGTAAAACAACTTGATAGACGCGGTTAAATAGTCAATAATTGATTAGAAGGTTAGTAAATAAAAAAGTATTGATTTTTGAAATTTCTTGTAAAACAGGAAGGAAATAAAATGAAGTTGGGGCGAAAAAAAATCAATCACCTTCAAGCATAAAATGAAGCTAAAAGCCAATCACCGGCAATCAACTACTTTATTCTTTCAACAACAAAAAATAACGTTTACACAGATAATTACAAGTCTAACACATTGGATTAATTGTATTTTTTGTGGTTAGGGATTTCAATACATCATCTAGACTGTACAATTTATGAAACGCGTCTATTAGAGTAAATATACCTGTATAAGGGTAGAGAAATATTTACCCATACCATCTAATGTTTATGAGGATATGAATGGATTTTCATCTTCTACAGTCAGGCCATTTGAAGATAAGAGCTAACAATTTAAAAACCTCTCATAAAATGGCCGTGCGCGACCAGCCACAAACAGTTGTTTCCTTCGGCTCTGCCGTCACGCTGCCAGGTCTCTCATTTTCTTTTTAGGTTCCTCAAGAAATACCTTTCAATGATGTGAGCAGCCGGTAAGTGACACACACATCAATTAACAAGAGGACCCAGACATACATTTCCTATGGCATAAATAACTTACTAAAAATGGAACCTGGAGGCTACCATCGATTAGATATAATTTATTCAATAATTTTTCATTTTTATTAGCAAATCAACCTTAAAATGGTAAATATTAGTTGATCAATGAAATTATAACTAATGTACATTAAGTGATAATAGAAATATAAAGAAAAAAATGCAACATTTTTATTTTAATTTTTTTTCAGTGGTCATTGGCATGGTGAAGTTGATGTACATATTTTTGAAGATTTAAGTCGTACAGAAAGAAAACGATTTTGGCGAGATATTACACGACTTATGATGACTAGACATGAAAATATTGCGTTGTTTATGGGTGTATGTGTTGATCCACCGAATTTTGCAATTGTAACTAGGTAAGTTTAAAGATTGGAATTAATTTTTCTGGCTAGAGTTTTTTTTTACCGGGGTATTTTTTTGACGTGGTCGGGTAATCAACAGCATGCCCAATCTTCCATCTTTATCGGGGTTTGGGACCGGCAGTAGCCTCAGAGGTACTCTGGAAGTTCCTGAGAAGATGGTCAACATCATATAGAATTCTTATGATGGATTAAACTGCAAAATTGTGCACGGAGAACAGCTAACAAACTCGTTCTAGGTGAAGACCGGTGTCAGGCAAGGTTGCTTATTATCACCCTTTCTCTTTCTCCTGGTGATCGACTGAATTATGAAGACGTCAGCATCTGGAGGGAAGCACGGTATCAACTGGACAGTTAGGACGCAGCTGGACGATCTGGACTTGGCAGATGACCTGGCTCTTCTATCTCACACGCAACAACCAATGCAAGAGAAGACGACCAGTGCAACAGCAGTAGGTCTCAACATATATAAAGGAAAAGGAAAAATTCTCCGATATCGCACAACATGCGCCAACCAAATCACACTTAATGGAGATACTTTGGGGGACGTTAACACCTTTACATATCTGGGCAGACGAGAGAGGTGGATCCGATGCAGATGTGAGGGTGTGGATCGGCAAAGCAATTGAAAAATATCTGATTTAGTTTTAAGAAATGACATTACAATCATCAAGTAGTCTAACAGCTCAACTTTCTTTAAGACCATTAAAAGGCATAAAAATCATCATTTCATTACACCTTGTTGTAGGTATGAACATAAACTGATTAGTATTAGAATTAAGGAAGAGGGTGGTCTGTTGCATCACCTTCAAACCAATGAGTTGGCCTGTAATTATGTATACTACCGATTTAAATCAACTTTTAAAGTATAAATATAAATATAAATAAAAAACTACATGATTACAAACCAGTTAATAAATAATTCACTAACAGTGAATTGTAAATTATAATCGTTTAAAAACTCCAATGAATTTAGTTCATTGAACCAGTAAACCAGTTTACCTACCTACACCTATTACGCCTCATGGAGTATAGGTCGCCACCTGCTCTTTCCTGAGCCTTCCTTTCCAGTTCTGTTCAACCGCTATTCATTCTTTTCATGTCTGTCTCCAAATGTCAGGGTAATATGTTGTATGGTCTTCGATTTTTCCTTTGACCTTAAGGGTTTCAAGTAAGAGCTTGGCCTTGTGATGTATGTTACTAATTTCTTATATTATTTAATCTTAGAGAAATAAAGTCAAAAATAAAAATCAAACATGAAAATTAGTATTCAGCCACACCCAGTGACATGACCTTCATAATAGTGATTGGGTTAGTATGTTAAAATTTAAACGTTTTGATTTCAGTTTTCAACACATTCATTTAACTAGTTTATCTTTTCATTCTTTGTCATCTCTTTTTCTCTCTCACTCTCTCTCACTTTGTTCTTTGTTTCTTGTAATTTGATCTAAAAATATATCGAAAAATTCTGGTAATATGCACTACGTATTTCATATATTCAACCATATTTCTATATTTTATCTAAATCCATATTTCATTTAGTAAAGATTTAAACTCACTGATTATTATGACATCAAATTTACATTATATAGAGATGATGATTGTTGTTATCAATCTGAAGTTATCAATCGATTATTCTTAGACCACAACTAGAAACTTAGAAGCACAGGACGACCGTTTCATCCTAGTATGATGCTCATCAGCCGTGTGCATCCATGACCCTTGAACCTCGCAGGATTGGAACCCGGAACCTTTGGTCTTGAGCGCGAACGCCTAACCTCTGGACCACTGGGCCGGTATCCAATGGTGTGAATGTCTAACTTTGATCAGTCTAAACTGTTACGCAACCTTACCTACTGTCTTTGGTAGTTACTGCCTATAACCGATAGGGTTGAACTCCCTTTGTCACTAACTTTGTATTCTCAGTGTTTTTGCTTAGTTTTGTTGACGGATAATCAGTAGTATGTTAGAAATTGATTAAGGTGTTGATTTCAACATTATATATCTGACTAATCTACTAAACAGAAACTATATCCTTATGAGTTTGAAATATAGTTACGAAAATGTTATTGTTAGATAATGACATAGCTTGTGATAAATGAAGTTTACTGATTAATAATAATGTTTTTTAAGCTAAAATAGTAGTCCATAGTAAAATAGAATGTTACTGAATTATTAAAAATATTTAAAGTGATATTTCATCATACATTGTTAACAAATATCAGATATTGAAAGGAAGTGATGTAATAATCGACCGATGAAAAGTTTTAAGGTGGTAGTTATTTGTCCCGACTGTAGCTGATACCTTGACGTGGTGGTCGGGCTTGCCTGTCGTGATGACCCAACCGAGCTATACTGGCTGGAACATATGTTCCTGCAGGTCCTACCATGCCAGGCAGGTCGATTGGAGAACGATGAGACTAAAAGCAGCTACCCAAGGTCTGAGGGCGAAGTCGTACTGCTGACTACTGCAGAGAGGTGTGACAGTAGTAAGGTGTTTCCCTCGGACAACCAGCATCTGCAGCGATGCTGCCTTCTCACAAGGAAGGAAGGGTTAGAAAAGGTCGACCCTAAAAGTGTCACACCTCACCCTACCTCACGGATTTCCGTCTCCTTGGGTAAGGGTGCCCACTAAGGGCCTTTAAGAGCGGAGCTAATCCTCAAAACACCTTTGATAAAAGGGCCGTACGTGACCGGCCTCAAGCAGTTATCCCTTGAACTCTGCGGTCATGCACCTAGGTCTTCAAGACCAATACTAATCTATCTTCCTTTTCAGGTCCCTCAAGAAACAACCTTCCATGGTGTGGGCAACCGGGAAGTGACAACCGCCCTCATACCCGTAACAGCACGAGAGACCAAATTGGTCGAAGTCAAATCCTTCCTACACCCGAACATACCTCTCTTCTCTCCACAACTAACTCTACTTACAGTCCCTTTTCTCACTGCGCCGCTAATGCAAACGATTCGAGTTCACGAAACGTCATTCCTGGTCTCTTGAAACCCCTTTCTAGACTACATGTTGGAGCATTTAATGTACGGACATTGTGTCAAATAGGGCAACAGGCATAATTAGCTAGGACTTTAGAATCTCATGCCATCGATGTATGCTGCGTCTCGGAAACGCGCATACAGGATCCTAGTAAAATTATTAATCTGATTTCACCTTGTCAAAACGAAGAAGCAGCTCGATTAACTCTTCGTGTATCTGGAAGCCCTGATGCTGCTTTCAGGGGTCTTGCTGGCGTAGGTATAGCATTGAGTCGTAGAGCTGAACAATCTCTCCTTGACTGGATCCCAGTAGATAGTCGATTGTGCGCTGTCCGACTAAACGGGAAAGTAAGGACTCGGAAGGATAGGGACACTCGCCGTTGCCTCTTCGTCGTATCTGCCTATGCCCCCACTGACTGCAGTTCAGACGAGGTTGAAGATGAGTTTTAGAGAAAGCTTTCGGACCTCCTCCAAAAAGCTAGGCGCTCTGATATAGTAATAATGGCTGGTGACTTTAATGCTCAAGTAGGTAGACTGAGTGAAAATGAAAGACACCTAGGTGGATGTTATGGTGTCGCGGCTCAGAGAACAGACAATGGTGACCGTCTGTTGCAAGTATGCTGAGAAAACTGCCTATTCTTAGAAAACACTAACTTTAGGCATAAGGAAAAGCGTCTGTTGACCTGGCGACCTCCAAAGTCGTCTCAACGTTGGACCCAACTAGATCATATCGCCATCAGCCACCGATGGAGGGGTTCGATAGAGGACTGTCGCTCGTTCTGGGACACATGTTTAGATTCAGATCACGACCTGGTGCCAGCTGGTATTTGTTTGAGGCTTACTGGGCGTAGGAAAGACACCGTAAGAGAGCCTCTTAGGGTTTTGATTAATGATAATAGGGCGAAGAATATATTTCAGGAACAACTAGAAAGACAGTTAGGCGACCACTTCAGCGATTCCCATCCGGAGGCAGGTTGGAATGATATCAAAAAGGCTGTGGAAACAGCAGTGATATCTGCTAGGAAGGTTAACCATAAGGCTAGAATGAAGCCGTGGATCTCAGTAGCATCCACCGATCTGATGGATGCCCGAAAACTCATCCCACCTGGCTCTGAACATGATGAAGAATGAAGTCAACTTGGGTGCAAGCTGATAAAAAGCCTGCGCAACGACCGTGGACAGTGGTGGGTGGAGAAAGCGAGAGAGATTGAAAAGGCAGCGGTAATAAGCAAAAGTAGACAACTTTTCCGACTTATCAAGGAAACTGGTATTAGGAATCCTAGTGTAAGTGAGACTATTTCGGAAAAGGATGGGACTATTATATATTCTCAATCCAGGAGACTGAATCGATGGGCAGAACACTTTAGGGATCACTTCAACTGGCCTCGAGCCACTCTCCAGTTACCCACGATCTCCAGTTATCCTGAACGGCAAATCGACGTAAGTTCGCCTAGTCTTTATGAAGTTGAGAAAGCGTTAGGAAATCTGAAGCAAGGGCAAGCTTCAGGTCCTGACAGACTGACCCATGAGATATTTGAGGATGGTGGTCCAGTTTTAGCAGCTAGGTTGACTGAGACCATAGGTAGAATCTGGGAACTGGACGTAATCCCATCCGACTGGTCTCAATCACTGATTGTCCCAATTTATGCAAAAGGACAACAATCCTCTTGTGAGAGTCACAGGGGAATCAGTCTAACCAATATAATATCTGAAATTTCGGCCTCAATAATACTTCGTCGCTTATCGAAAGCTCATGAAGAGCAGACTAGAGAAAACCAGGCTGGTTTCGACCTGGACGTGGTTGTGTAGACCATATCTTCACACTACGACAGATCCTGGAACACAGACACACATTTGGGCGTCCTACAATTGTTGTCTTCCTGGACCTGAAAGCGGCATTTGACTCAGTGGATCGTGAGAATCTGTGGCAGTGTCTGTCATTGAAAGGTGTGCCAGAGATGTACATTAACCTTAAACAAGCTCTTTACTCGAACACCACTGGTCGAGTGAGAGCTTATGGCGAACTGTAAATGGAATTCTTTACTTCAAGTTATGTCCGTCAGGGATGTCCACTTTCTCCATTCTTGTTTACTTTTATCATAGACATGCTCTCAGAAATAACCTTATCCCCTCGAAATGCAAAATGTTGCTTCAAGATTGGGTTGCATCGGCACCTGAACTAACGATAGGGAGTGAAGTAGTCGAGCGCGTAGACTGCTTCACTTATCTTAGGAGTCTCATCAGTGCCGATGGCCTGGTGACTGACGAAATCTCAGCTCGGATACAGAAGGCTCGATTGGCTTTGGCCAACCTGCGTCACTTATGGCGTAGGGGAGATATCCGTTTGCTGACTAAAGGGCGAGTGTACTGTACAGTAGTTCGCTTCGTCTTACTTTATGGCTGTGAAACATGGCCAGTGAGAGTAGAAGATATTCGTAGGTTACTGGTTTTCGATCATAGGTGTCTTCGAAGCATTGCTCGTATACCGTGGGACACCCGAGTGAGTAACGCTGTTATTAGGAATCGGGTGCTAGGTAAGAATGGCAGATCAATCGATGAAGTGGTGAAACTTCACCAGCTGAGGTGGTTGGGACATGTGTTGCGTATGCCTAACCACCGACTGCCTCGTCGAGCTTTGTTTTGTAGTGTAGGAGTAGGTTGGAAGAAAGTTAGGGGCGGCCAAACCAAAACATGGCAGAAATCCATGAAGTCATTGACTAGTGGACTGAGCCATGTCGGTAATTTTCGACTACCTGGTTGGAGTCCGCGAGATGATAGTAATCGATGGTTAGAGACCTTGAATGACATGGCTCAAAATCGTTCGCAGTGGCGCCGGCGCATTTATTCTTTGTGTTCTCTCAAATCCTAATCTTCTGGATTCTTCAACACCTCTAGTTTCGATATTCTAAACTTTTCTCATTAAATCATACTTCATGAATAATATCTTTTAATCCTAACCTTTCCAATTACTTCTAATACTTTTACTACCTCTTCTACTATTTGATTCGAATCGACAACTACATCTCTGTGCTTATGTGGTATGGCAACATGAACTGATGTAATTACGTACGAAGTTCTACGTTGCATCTGACTGACTGACTGACTGACAGTTATTAGTACTGACCAGGAATGCAAAAGTTTCCACATCTTTCATAGCTTCTCCATCACTTGTGACTTGGTTGATACATGTACTGTCTTATCGGAGAATCTTGCTTTTCCTTTTTGTATGTTGAGACCTACTGCTGCAGAAGCTGATGTTACACTCATCATTTTTACCTGCATTTGTTGCTGTGTGTGGGATAGAAGAGCTAGATCAACTGCAAAGTTCAGACTGTTCGGCCGCATCCTAGCTGTCAACTGTATTCGGTGTTACTCACGAGATGTTGACATTTTCATATTGCAGTCGACCACCAGGAGAAAGAGAAAAGGTAGGAGCGAGCAACGTTACCAGTCTTTACTTCAAACGAGTCTGTGAGCTGACTTCCACGCACGATTTCGTAGTTTAATCCATCATAAGAATTCTCAGACATACCATAGTGTCGGACGGACTTCCATAATGTAATCCTGTCCAAGCTATCGCATGGTTTCTCGTAGTCAATGAAGTTGATGTAGAGTGGTGAATTCCATTCAATTTATTGTTCAACAATAATCGGTACTTTGGCGATTAGGTTGGTATATGTTTGATCCTTATGGAATCCACCCTGTTGAATTCGAAGTTGGGAGACTACTGAGTCTTACATTTCGTTCAACATCACTCTGTTGAAGATTTTACTTGGTACTGTGAGGTCTTCTTTCAGTGCCTCAGCTGATATGTTGTCTGGTCCTGCTGCTTTGCCAATTTCGAATTATCTGATGGCCATGCTGATCTCTCCAATCGTTGATGGGCCAACATCGATTAGGAGGTCCGTAGGTACTGCTTCGATGTTGGGTGGGTTCATTGGAGCTAGTCGATTCAAGAGTTCCCCTATCCGCCTATTTCTCTGTTCATCAATGTTGGTGACTACTTTGTCAAAATATAATATTTAGTGTACTGCTTGTAACCCGAAGACACTATTGGGACAATCCGCACAGGATGCATATATACTAAAAAGACTGATCACTTTCAGTCTTAACCATCAATGAAAAGATTCAGACAGTTAATACAAATGAAACTTCACCCCACAGAACAAGTGAGTGACTAAATGGATTCAGTAGCTAAATGAATAACTCGTTGTCATTTCAAGCGTAAGTTACTGGATTCGAGTTCTGGCGTGAACACCAACTCTGTGGTGCAGGTAAATCCAATTGACGGGTACTGGATCCCACTGCTAGCCACCACCTACCTCTGTTAATAATACTTATTACTTGAGGGAGTTATCGAGGCGATTCTCACAGGAGGCAGAAATGCCAAAAAAACTGATCAACTACAGTTGTTAACTTCAGTGAAAAGATTCAAACAACCAGTACAAATAATTTTAAATCATCATTCACACATAAGATTGTACATTTTTTATACATTCATCTCAGTAAGTATGGTCAATATATATCACCAGTTAAAACATGAACAAAACGAAGAAAGAAAATATCGACACAGTTAAAAAGCAAATGACCTAGAAGTTTGAGTAGGTCATCGCTATTTCTGACTTTCATTTAGTTAATTATGCTTTCTATGACTCGTAATCTAAGACCATATACGATCACTGAGTTTTGATTAGTTATGAATAAAATATTGTTCTGTTTGCAACACAACTTCATATATATATATATATATATATATATATATATATATATATATATGCTCAAACGTTTAGGTCACTTATACATTCAAAATGATTCATATTTGTACCTCAAACAGAATACACATCTGAACTTTATTAATCTCATGAATATTTGGACAGTTTGAATAGTTGGTTTATGTCATTGTCATAGGTTATATCATCACATAACAATTTGAGTTAAGTAACCGTTAGAATCCATGAGCCGCTGGACAAATGTTTTGACAACACTGTGCATAAAACTCAGGATTTTAAGACAAACGAGGGAATGCTTAAACTCTAGACCACTGAGACAATATCCAATAGCCCACATGTGTAACATTACATAGTTCTAAATATCACGTGATCGTCATTAATTGCGTACAGTCGATGACTGTCTCACAACCAACATGGTTGTCTTAGATCCATGCGTGATGTGGTCTATGAACAATTTCGAGTTTAATTTTTCCCCCGAAACTGCTGAACGGTATTGGGAAGCGTTGTAAATATTCGATTTCAACTAATAACTTTACTTATCTAGTTACTATTATGTAATGAATGAATGCTTAGGAGTATACATTAAAAGTCAAACAGAAAACAAAACCCCAAGCCTCGTGAACAGTATTATATCGATGAGTGCGAACATAGTGTTCATCATTTTCAGCATCAGTCAATTCAAAATACAATACAATATGGACATATGATCGATTTTATAGTCAAGTCCAATTCATATACTCCAAGATCCACTTAACTAAATAAAAACAACACTTCTCCACGTTTATGAAGCAAGTAAATAGAGTCTATCTACATATGCGTAAACCTACTACGTATGACTGAATTCTGTTCTTTCCACTTGATTTTAACATAAATAAAGCTTTCATCTAACTGTAGTAGCCTAGTTTTCATAAAAAGACAGAATAAATCAACCATAGAGCTAAGCTCGATATAGTAATATTAGTAGTGCCTGAGCAGTTAAGATATGAATGCAGTAATCGACGTGTTTCCTGTTATTCTGACCTAAAATTAAATAACAAACATGAATTACAACGTGAATACAACAATCTGTTACAAACAGTTAATCACTAACTTTACGTAAATTAAGGTCATGTATAAATAACAACTAAGTTACAGATGTATATTTAATCAATGTTAACTTGTGTACGATAAAATATATATATCAAAAAAAGTTAATAAGTAAAAAGAAAGCTTACAGTTAAAACTAACTTAATTAATTAATTACTCCTGTGACTCCCAATGGAGTATAGGCTGCCGACTAGCATTCTACATCCTAATCTGTCTTGAGCCTTCCTTTCCAGTTATATCCGATCGATGTTCATTCTTTTCATGTCTGTTTCCATTTCTCGGTGTAATGTGTTTTTTGGTCACACACTTCTCCTCTGACCTTGAAAGTCCCAAGTTAGCGCTTGTCTTGTGACACAGTTGAATGTTTTCCTCAATCTGTGTCCTATTCATTTCCAGAGCTTCTTCCTGATTTCTTCTTCTGCTGGAGTCTAGTTATTCCTATCTCACAGTCAGTAAGTCGGTCAGTTACATCAGAGAACTTCATACGTACGAACATCAGTTCAAGTTGCCAATAACACATTAGCACACAGATGCAATTGTCAATTCAAAACCCATAGTAGTAGAAGTAGTGGAAGTATTAGCAGTAATCGAAGCGATAGGTGTTCGAAGATATTACTTAATAAGTATAATCTAATGAGAAGAGAAACGCAGAAGTGACGAAAAATCCTAGAGGATTAGGATTGGAGGGAAGACAAAGTATGAATGTACCTGTTCTATTAAAAACTATTTTTAGCCATGTCATTCAAGGTCCCTAACCATCGACTACTATCATCTCATTGATGTTGTCTGGCCAATGGATCTTCAGTATCTGGCGTAGACAACTGTTAGCAAACATCAGTATCTTGTGGATGATGACTTTTGTGATTTTCTAACTTTTTTCACACCATATAATAGAACTGTATAAAAATGATTCCATCATTTCGTACTTATATATATTTTCATCTTTCTCTCTGTTTCTTTTCATTTCTCGAATTTTAGTTCATGTAAAGGTGTATCATTATATAATAAACTTCATATAAAACGTGAAAAATTATCACACATAAATCGAGTTTATTTATTACGTCAAATAGCTAATGCAATTACCTACTTACATAGTCGAAATGATCCCATTGTCATACGTCGTTTATCTAGTAAAAATATTTTCTTAAAACCTAAAATGAATTTATATTTAACCGATTATACAATGGCCGATTGTGATTATCAATTGTAAGTTTTATGATAAAATTTCATTGGAATTTTATCGTTATTATTGTGAATGTTTATATATATATATATATATATATATATATATATATATATATATATATATATATATATATATATATATATATATAACATGAATTATACTACTTATATTACGTTTAAAAAAAGCTACATAGTCTCACGAAAGAAATTCTTAGTAGGAGGCTGTGGAAATTGTTAAATCTCATTGAAATCATAAGCTCATCTAAGTAGTAAGATTATTATTGAAAATCCATTAGTACTGGATGGCTGTTTCATCCTGTTATGGGACTCTTCAACATTAGCCATAGACTACCTCTGGTCTATTTCACGAACGATAAACCTTTAGACTTTTCAATCGTCATCCAACGATGCTATTAACTAAATTCAATCTATACACTTATATTACCATATGACAATGGATTTATAAAATGTAGGAGTACTAATCTATAACAGACTGAGTACAAAAAAGATCACTGGAATGAAAAAATGTAAAATATAAGAGGTATATCTTTGGGGTGCATTTTTATGAGCGATTTCATTTCAAGACTTAATTTTCACTGTTTTTCCTCCTGCATGTTATAATTCTGAGTAGACAGTTGGAGATAATTCTATGTGTCTGAAATGAAAATGACACTCTAATATACATACTTTATTCACTTACTAAATGAGCATAAATTGACAGATACAACGCACTTATTGAATATTGAAAACATTCTCGATAACTGCGGCCATCATTCATTCATATGTGGATTTGAATCCCACAGAAACTACTTCGTTTTAACTAACTCAGTATATTAAATAATTTTTTTCTGGTTAGTATTACCTAGTAAGGTGTTTTCTATGGGATAGGGCTGGTGACCACACACTCAACCTTCTTCCTTATTCAGTCTTTGTGCTGATATTCACTCTGAAAGGGCTCTAGGCAGGATGGAGTAGGTTACATATTACTGGTAGGCAGCCTATATTCCATGAGAGGTAACAAGATTAAGTAGGCAGCTAAGTAATATTTCACAAAACATTCAGATTAAAAGCAAGTACATTACCCTTTACAGGCTTATTGAATTCTGCTATAAAATAAATTTAAACCGAATATGAATAACAAAGTTAATTGGAGAAAATGAATTTGATGGCTTCTCGTGGTCTTCATACAACCTAAAAATGAAACTATTCTTATAATTATTAACATAGTTTGGTTTGTGCAGTTCAAATGAATGTTTAAAGCGTAGCCAAAATCATGATAACAAGAATAAGATGACAAAACATTTTGGTGGCCAGCCGTCTGACTTCATTTTAGACATACAGTTGAATATACTATAATATAAATCTTCTCTTCAATTTCTATATTTCATGCTGAAGTGAACCTCGTTTGTGCGACGCCGAGACAAGAAGCAAAATACGGATTTAGTTGAATGAGAAAAGAAAGTGTACAAGCAAAGTTAAGCGGATCTGGCGAGTGAGCCAACTCAGTGCGAGCAGGCATGACTGAGCATTTCTAGTCAGAAAAAAAATAAGCAAGCGGAGTACTCAATACACAACATGGACTCCAGTTAAAAAACAACCAAGATATAAGAGAATAGCTAACAAGGTCAAAAGATGTGTAAATAGTAACTCTAACAGAAAAGACTAATTAAATTGTCTGAAAGCTAGGGTAAGCCATAAGAGCTCAGCACATTAGTACACTTATTACAAAGTATATAAATAAATATAGTCAGGATGGATATGTATTTCAACGTTAGAAAATAGTTAAACAGTGTAGAACAGGTGACATAGTTTCTAATAGTCACAATCAAGGTAAAAGACGTTATGTCAAGGTCATGAAATAGATAACTGATTTCATGATTACCTAAATTCATTGAGAAATATAAAATGAAACGCCTGTCCTTCATCCAACTTACGTTTAAAGTATCCAGGTTGCACAGAAGAGAAGATTATCTGTTGCTTGGCCGACTTATACCGTTCAAAAGTCGATCAATGCCCTCCCGATATCAACTGCAATTTCGTCGAATAATTTGCATGTGATTGGGTTGGGAAGTATATAAAAATAGTAGAGAGAAAGGTTTCTAGCAGAATGTCAGAACACATCACTAGTAATTAAATTGTGAGAGGAGTTCCTGACAGTTGCAATAGTTAGGCACCTCTTAGTTATTTAATACGAGAAATGCATTCGAATTCATTAACAGATAATGAACACCGATTTCGCTTTGATTCATAAAGTCATTTTCTATCAAAGGCCGAAATAAGGCATACATTATGCATCGATCACTTTTATACCATCATTAGAGACCTGATTTCCACGAAACTCATCAATCTACACAACCCTATAGTTAAGGATCATAGAATATGCTCACTGGTAACTAGCTTCGTGAGGAAATTTTCCGGAGTTCTAGTAAAAATCCATGATCAGCAGAGTTCAAACCTGTCCTGTGTGAGTCATTAACTACTGAAGACAGTTGGTGAGGTTGGACAGTATCTAAAACTGATCAAAGTTTGACATTATCACTGTTAGATGACTACTCGATGTTGAAATTTCTCAACTATTAAGGTATTTGTAGAATTGACTACTTTATTTAAACCAGTTTAACATTGTCTAATTCATTAATGTATGCCTTATTTTGGCCTTTTGTAAAATAACACAATATAATTATGAACTTATAACTGTAGAGACTAGTGATGGCGAAGTTATTATTCACTTAAATATTCTTTTGTTTTTGTGAATATTCTATGAGAATTTTTAAATTAATTTAAAAAAAAATTATTAATTGATTAAAATTAAATTTAAGTAACATTTTGAATTATATTTTATATAATGTAACAATAATACTTTCTTGTTCATTGTTCAATTATTTCATCATATTTAGTTTTAATAAAAGAATTTAAAACAAATTTTGTAAATGAACAAATGAATAGTGCAAAAAGTATTATTATTGTTATTTTCTATGAATTAGGTAACACTTACATCACAATAATGTAGTTCTCTACATTAAAATCTCGAGTCAGTCATTTTAAGGCCGCTATTAGAAACCTGGAAGCAATGAACTACCGTTTCGTTTTGATATGGGACTCATCAGCTGTGCAGATTCAAGGCTCGCTCATAAGGGAATCGAATCCAGGGCCTACGGTCTCGCTAGTGAAAGCTTAACCTCTAAACCACCAAACCGGCATCCATTGGTGGCAATGTCTAATTTCAGTCAATCTACGGATATTGCTCGACCTCACCCATTGTCTTCGGTAGATACTGCCTTATACCTGACAAGATCTAACTTTGTTGATCACGGCGTCTCAATAAAACTCGGAGAATTTCCTTATGCAGTTAGTCATTAGTGAGTACATTTTATGATTTGGCATTATAGGGTTGAAGAGATTGATGAATTCCATTGAAATCAGGTTTCTAATGGTGATTCATGATTTCAATAAAAGTGAACAATCTCCACAACACTCTATTGAAGAATCATAACAAGATATGTCAAGTAGAATAATATTTGAATTGTGATAAAAGAATTCCAGATAATAAACTCTAGTAATACTTTGATTATAATCACAATAGAAAAGAATTGTAGAGATTATGGATGATTATTTGCCAGTTGTAGTTATTTCACATTAAAAAAGGTCTGAATGTTTAATTCATATGAAGCTGGAATAAAAATCATTCTCAGTAATAATGTTCTTTTCATTCAGCTTTTAAAATTTATTTATACTTTAATATCATGCTAGAGAAAAAAGTTTCAGATAAGTCTTATGACTGATGTGTTATCTGATATGATCGATAAAATATTCCTGGTAAAGTTGTTGTGATACACTGATAAGTAGAATGATATCTGGTTTCAGTTATTGATTTTAGATAAAATCATTCCATGATATAAATAGCGAACTGGATAATCTCGGAAAACCTTTTAACTACTTATAAGTAAACTGAACCTGAAAGTAATTCTTGGAAATTTAGTAAGAACTCATGACTGATGAAATTCAACTTTGTGGATTACTAGGTACTAATTCATCAGTCTCATAAAATGATTGACACATCATTTAACAAATGAACTGAAGTTGAAAATATGAGCTGGATTATAGTAGGACTATTGTAGTAACGCGTTATTTCGAGTGTTTGAAGCTCTTAGTTTAGATCTTTAGCTGACACACTGATGGATAGTGTGGTGCTGTGGTGCGAACTACTTATAAGTAGTATATAACGTGAGTGTCAACGTAATGTCTGGTAGCATAATATGGGGGGAAGATCAAGAAAGGAAGAGTTAGAAGAACACAATAGAATTTGTATGAAACGCATGAATAGTGACAATGGATTGATGTTTTGCAACAGGAACAGTCCAGTTCGATATGATGAACGGATCTTTTGCAAATGAACGATTTTACTGAGTAACTCTGTAATTTTCGTACATACATAATCTGCTTCCTCCAATAGTTTGTTTCTTTCATAATTAATCGCTGGCTACTTGATTTTGAAAAAGTTTTTGAGTAGAAGCACATGATATTCTCGTACTAGTTAGTCCTATGAAACATCAAATACGAATAACCGTCCGTTTTCAACGTTTAATAAAGTGCAATATTTAGCTTTTTTGAATAGTTTTTCCGTACATTCGATGTGTTTGTACAGTAAACAACGTTGTACTTTTAATTAACAAAGTCATATCAAGCTTCGTCAATTATGTCTTTCGAGATTACGACACGGCATACAGATAGAAAAAGAAATAGGGTGGAAGTTACAGATTGAAATAAAATCCCCAACGAAAATATTACACCTCATTATACAACACTGGCGCATCAAATGTAATACAGAATTACTATTTATTGCATAAATAGAACACTGAGATGAGGAAAGAGATGTACTACAAATTAACAACCACGTTTCACATCCCCAAATACTGAAGTATTCAAAAGAGTAATGTAGTTACCTCTCATACATTTTGAGTTTGTTTACGTTTAATGTGGTTAAGCCCTTTTGATTAACTGAGTTATTAGTAATGCAATAGCTCATCACAAATATGATTGAGTATTGCTTACCGCCTACGTGCATATTCGTTCTAATCGCTTTGATGTTAGCCTCTTAAAAAATCCGATGACTTATTCATTTTCCTATGTATAGTATATATGTACATTCTAATCTTATTCATTCACTCGCTCACTCGCTTGCTCTTCGGCACTGACATTTTGTTTTGCTTCGTGTACCCACGATTATGTTGGTCTGTTTGTGGTGCGACAATAAACTCATTCACCGCTTCATGTTCATCTTCTGATTTATATACACCGTTGAGTGTTATGTAGTAACGGTTATCAAGACGAGCAGTAGACATATATCGAATACAAACAATCATGTGACTAGTGAAACACTAACCACCACATAATTGGTGAGCACAACTTTAAATGCAACGTAGCCACATTCACCACAGTATCAATATTAAAACTTTAAATCAATAATGACTATGAGACAGATTCATTTAAAAGTAGTTTATTTTAAATTAAAAAATACTTTCTATCATTTTACAAAATTTAGACCAGATCATGTTCCAATTCCTTTGGATGGAATAAAATATATTGCACCAGAATTAGTACTTACTGTAAAAAAAGAAATTGAAAATTTATGCAAAAATAATTGTCAATCTAATTTAAATAAATTAGAATTTATCAATTCCGCCAAATATTCATATGATGATAAATCTCCCAAGTCAAACAATGTAATCAGTAATTACAATGCAAAGAAATTTTCGTTAACTATGAAAGAGCAAATTAATAAAACCTTTACTGACTATCATTCATCAAAGTCAACAGTGTTTACGCCAAAATGTTTCAATCTCATCAAATCATGCTGTAATTTAACTAGAACAAATGATTTCATTCAATTACCAACAAAATATACATCAATGCCAAATTTATCTATTACTGAACAGAAAAAAACAGCAATTTGTTCAGATGAATTGTTTAAAATAGATCAATCAATCAAATATATTTCTTCACCGCGTAAAGTTAGTTTTATGAAAAAAACAATTCGTCAATTGATTTCCAGTAAATCAGAACAAAAGAAATCAATGATTAAATGTGTATACATACCTGTGACAGAATTTACTATATTTTCTGATATATTTGCATATGGGTAAGATTATGATCATTTTTCTTTGAGTTAGATTGAGTAAATTCAGGCAACAGTTGTATTTTTACATATTTGAAATCATCTATCAATCATTGTTAGACCAATCATCGTTAGAAACTTGGAAGCACTGAACGGCCGTTTCGTCCTGGTATGAGACTCATCAGCAGTGCGCATCCACGACTCCTGCACCTCGCAGGATTCGAACCCGGGACATTCGGTCTTGCACGCGATTGCCTAACTAACATGAAAACATTGATTTATGAACGGAAAACATTATCTTTAAAAAGTCCTCAAGATTCTACAATGAATTATCCAAAGTAATGAACAGATTAAAGGAAGATGTATCGTTAAAAAAATTTCAGTACGTGAACTGAAGATTATTTGTTCAATGTTGAAATAACTAATGTGCAATGTGAGTGGAACTTTGAGATTACTAAGCAGAAGAGAATTTATTTCCAAAAATATACGTCATTCTTCGTTCATATATCAGTTTCAATAATAATGTAGTCAAAATAGATAATATTGGCAATGAGTTTGGATAATGTTGATTGTGTGGATAGCACTCGATTGTTGCCGGTGGCGTTCGAAGTAAGTGTTCTCTTAATGGGCTGTGCACCAGCCCTTCGACGAAGCGAGAGCGTACCAACTCGTCTCGTCCGCTGACATCCAGCTCAGGAAATGCTTTGACCGCAATTTGTTGTAAGGAGTCAAGGTACTCAATAGGATTTTCTGGTGACGCAACAGAAATTGGATGGTCACCTGCTGATTATCCACAGGTAGTGAGAAACAATCGTCTGATATATGCCAGTTTTTAGATAGAGAGTTAGTTGTTGAGAACCCATATGCTGTTACTCTTTTTACAGCCTTGTCACTCAAGAACGATACAAGGTACTCAAAGTGTTCTGAAACGGGCACTTTGCGCAAGTATGCTTCCACTCCAAATTTCCACGCAGCATAATCCGACGACATTTCCAAAAGTGGCGGCTGACGAGGACTTGCGGTAGTTCTTGCCTTAGCTGGCAGCACCTGGGGTTCCTCTGGTTTTGATTTGAGTTTCGCGGTAGGCACCTCTGTCACCATTTGTAACACGTGTTATTAGCAGTCACCAAACAGCGGATCAGATATAAAATTGCAACACACAGAGTTAGCTTAACACTTCACACCAAGAGAGAACACAAACTACGGCCACGGAACTCTTTTATTTTAAAATTAAAATAGGCGGGGTTTCTACAGAAATAGGGTGGGTAGTGTACCAAAGTCTTATGAGTCATCCTATAAGTTCAGAGCACTCAGGGCTTGTTCTACAGCTTCCAAAGCGTTTTTGTTTGATCGCCCTGAAATAGAAAGAAAACAGAACGGGTTAGCAATATCATACATGGTGATTTTGACTCCGTTACGATATAAAGTAGGATGTATATATGGACAAAAAATAAACATTTATGCATGCAACTGAAAAAAATGGATTCAGCTTCAAGCGTAGATGATACTTCGTTGTGATGATTAGGTCTGTCGATCTTGATGACATTGCTTGGAAAATTTGTTGCATATGATCCTAACATACTGGAAAAATACAGATAGATTTGCAAACAACTCATCATATTTTTTCCTTTCTATCAATCCATGTTGTTCCATGATATCTTTATATTCGGCCTCAAAGTACACCAACCAAAGCACGCTTTGCGGAGAAGCTTTGGAAACTTTCACGCATCTGGGCAGCGTTATTGATAAGCAAAGTGGATCTAATGCATATATGAACACAGGGGTTGGCAAAGCAAAGGCAACATTTCGATAATTGAAGAACATCTGGAACTTAAAACAACTGTCAACCAACATCAAAGAGTTTCTGCTGTATGGGGTGGATACTTGGAGAACTACGAAATACATCATCCAAAAGATACAAGTATTTATTAACAGTCGTCTACGCAAGATACTGCTGATCCGTTGGCCAGACACAATCAGGAACAAACAAGCGTTGAAGAAAACAGCAAACTACATTCTAGATGAGGAGGAAATGAGAAAACTGTGGAGGTCGATAAGACAAACATTGTGAAATGCACCCAAATACGCCACCATGCAAGCCCTAACGTGAAATCCCAAATTCTGAAGGAAAAGGGGTAAACGAAGGAACGCGTTACATCGAGAACCAGACACAACTGGAAAAGAGAGACAACGAGAGAGTAAGACTGGGATTATTTATCGGTGTCCTATACTCCGTCAGGGGTAACAGCAGTGAGTAAGTAAGTTGTTAAACATTTCAGTCTTGGAAATGTGTTCTTTCATTGAGATGATCAAATCTTTTCCTGGGCATTTCTCTACAGCCTACTTCAGCTTCTAATGAAACTGATCTTTGTTGTGATGTTTTCTATATTTGCCAGGTGCGTAGCTCTGGACAACATTACTTCCATCCGTATTTCTATCTTGAAGAATGCTTTAGTGATTCCAGGTCCTAGGGACTTTCATCCTACAAGTGATTTTCATGATTCTGTGGACAGAATCAGAGTAACTCCATGGAAGCATGAGGTTCTTTCTTCACCATCACCGGAGTAGAGCAACACCTCTTTCGAAGCTAGTCTCTTCTCTCCAGTTTACGTCAAATGAGTTTCATTAATTCCATGCATTACTAGGTGATCTCTTTTCATTTTCAGCGCTTTTGGAATGAACCTTCAAGTTTTTTACATGATACAGAAATTCCATTTACCTACGTTAATTGTTGCCGTGGTTACCAGAAGGAGCAACGGTTACTTCGTTGCTTCCAAAGAAATTCGGTTTTCACTATGAGACCTAAGTGACGAGTTTTCAACTGCAAGAAAAGAATTTATATGACCTTTTGTGGTTAACGATTGTTTCTAAGATATGGAACTGATCAACCGACACCCATCCTTCCTCCTTTATCTGGAGTTGGGACTAGCAGTAACCCTTGACGGGCTCAAAGAGCAGTTCAGTAGAAGTTACCTACAAACTAAATGTAAACAGTTCCTAAAATTGACATTGCCCAGATACAAAGTGATGGTATTATACATGTTTATTTATTCATGTTCATGTTACGCCTGCACGTAAACACGTCAACTTGATTTGCTTGAACGATTTCGAGTTTACCTAGTCGGAAAACGAGATCGAGGATCGAGGATCCGGAGACACGACATGCTACTCAATCCGATTATCCCAGCCCCCATATTGATTAAAATAAGACAAGACTTGATATGAAGTAGAACCTGTATTCTACAAGCATCCAGAAAGTACGAGGTCCGAATCCAGAAGAGAATCAGGATCCCGGACAAGGAATCCGGGACCGGGTGCTGGTCCTGATCATAAAACGTTACAGATAATGCGTATTTATACATTTTGGTCGAATGAGAAACAGCATTGAAGTCTGTGACATTGACAGATAAGACGACCAATAGGAAGCAACATTTAAAGTGACATTGATAGTCAGGACAACCAATAAGAAACAACATTGGAGTATGTGACATTGATATCTAGGACGACCATAAAATTGACCAGTAGGAACTAACCAATAAGAATTGACCAATAATTCCCTTAAGATAATAAGGCTGATTATAGTAAATGTATCGTTTAAAATACTTTCCGTATATTGTTATAATGTTATTTCCCCTTCAGGACTATTATATTTGAAATAAACGCTCGATGTTATCCATATGAAGATTTCGACTTACGTCAATGTATCAAATATTTACTAGATGGCCAGCGAGATGATGGAAGTGAATACTGTATACCGAGTTCTATGAAGGTATGTCATTGACACAATGAGACATCTTATCTCTTTCATAGAATGGAACATACACTCTGAGCTTTGATTTTTTTTAACCAGTCTAGTAAGAATGCATATAATACTTGCGAGTGGATCATCAAGTTTCTAGTGGTGTAGCCGAGTGAGTTGTAGTAAAAAAATTGGGATTGATTTCTTCTAAATCAACAAAAAATATGTGTTGGTTATTTTATGACTATTGTAGTTATATCCTAACTAACCAATCAGATTGTGGTTTAAGCGTCCAGCACGTGATCTGACCTGACGTGTCTGTAAACCTTCTTTGTTGTAAAGGACCTACAAATTGATTGATATTATTATCTTATTACATTGATGTGACTCGTAACTGTACTTATTTCCATAAGATACGCTATATTGGTCGAAACATATCAAGTTTAAAGTAAAGTTGATCTTCTTCTAACTTTAGCTTTCTCATAGACTCTGTGCTCGCCAATATTGCGTTTACCGTTCTAGAATTACATCTGTAGGACAAATTAAATCCTACAATATGAACCACGTAATATTAAGAAATACAGCCTAATCTTTAGTTGTGAAGAATTAGTATTTAGCAATGTAAATTAAAATCTGTATACATGAAAAGTTTAACCTCACTGATTAATAACTTGAAATGTTGATGTATACTTTAGTCACTTTCGATTAAATATTTTATATCTAGTTATATTAAATAAAATCAAATTCACAGAGTTTAGCAATCTACTTGAAATATTGAAAAACTATTGACATGATAATTATTGAACGCCTAAATCAATAAAATAAGGAAACTGTGACCTAAGTTGCAACTGTATGTGTATCCAGAAGTCATTGTTTATACCATGATTTGAATAAATAAATTTGGTTATTTATGCATCATTTTGTAAATTGATTACTGAATTTAGTAGTAGAAACCGACATGCAAACAAATTCCATTTTAAAATTTATGCATACATATTTCACTTTTCTACTGAACCACGATAAACAACAGATAGTGCTCAAGTAATTTTGTACAATACAATGACTAATCGTGATTTCACCTACTCAGTTTAGAGTTATACATTTTTTACGGTAGATATTTTTACTATACAGAATGGAGTAAGAGAAAAAGCGATGTTTAGACTGATACTTTCCATACTAAGCAGCCATTCACAAGAATTTTGATCACACAGTATAAACCTATGGAAATTGTTGAGTAAGTTTGAAATCATGGATCAATCAGTGTCAGACCACCATAGGATACCCGGAAGCACTTGACGGCCGTTTCACCGTGGTATGCGACTCATCAGCAGTGCTTATCAACAACTTCCTCTACTCCCAGGATTCGAACCTAGGACGTTCGATCTTGCATGCGACCTCTTAATCCCTGTACCACTGAGTCCCAATCCAAAACGGAAAGACAGTCCACTGCTTCCGTGTTTCCGATTGTGATCTAACACATTGACCGATTCATGATTTCAAAGAGTATTATGTTTAACGTACTCATCTTTTCCATGGGATAAGTGAGTAAACTATAAATCAATGAAGATTTACTGATATAATTCAACCTGGAATGTTATGTAACTGAACTGAAGTTGAAAAAGTTTCACTAATTCACTGCTGAATTCAATTACTGAATTTAATAAGATAGTAAGCACTACTTATCAATTGTTATCTTAGTTACAAATGTAAGATTGAGGCTTTGGACATCTTGCGTAGTCAGTTCATAAATCTGTGATCAATGATATCCTCTATTTGATTATTTTGGAACTAGTTTATGAGATCAAGAGCTAATAAATTGTTTAGACAAGTATAAATCCACAAATATAACTCTATTTCATAAAAGATTAAGTCTAGTGTAGATATTTGTAATGGGTACTGTTAGTTATTTCCATAACCAATTGTAGTTATGCCATAACTAACCAATCAGATTGTGTTTGAAGCGACCACCACGTGATCTGACCTGACGTGTCTGTAAACCTTCTTTATTGTAAATGACCTACTAATCGAAGGTCATTATTATCTTATTATATTGATGTGACTCATAGTTTTTATTCATTTCCAAAGACACACTATATTGGGCGGTATGTTTACTCGTTTCACTTGATAACTGTAATTTCCTTATTTATTGTTTTTATGTTTAGAAACAGATAAAGTTTAAAGCAAAAGTTGATCTTGTTCTGATTATAGCTTTCCCATAGACTCTGTGCTCGCCAATATTGCGTTTACCGTTCTAGAATTACATCTGTAGGACAAATTAAATCCCACAAGTACTAAAAAGGTTTTGACTGTTAGTTTTTTCCAGTTGAATAACGCCCTCATTTTTTATTTACTGCAATACCAACCGAATTCTAAGCTAACAGTATGATTTTAAGAGAAGAAACAAATTCAATATTTGAATGATTGACAATAAAAGTATCGAAATTTTCTGCTCAACAAAGTTGAAAATAAAAATCGTTCAAATTCAATTAGTTCTTTTATTTTAAAAATTTTTGAGATAAATTATAGTTTAACAAATGAATTAAAATCTCAGTATAAACTTTAAACTACTATTTTTTTATGATCAAGAAACAAAATTTTATCATTTTTAATTATAAGACAATGAATATATAACATTAGAATCGTGAATCAGTCATTTTAAGATCACCATTAGAAACTTGGAGGCACTAGGCGGCTGATTCGTCCTAGTTTGGGACTCCTCAGCGTTGCGCTTCGATGACCGTATTATGCTAGGATCGGACCCAGGATTTTCGGTCTCGATAGCGAACGCTTAATATCTAAACTATTAAACCAGCATCCAGTGGCGTTGATATCTAAGGATTTTGCGCAGCCTCACTATCCCAATGTAAGTAAACAATTTACATAACTCTATGGTGACAAATCATGAAATATGTTCACTAGTGACTAGCTTCGTTAGGAAATTGTTGGCGGTCTAGTGAGAAGCCTTGGACAGTGAAGTTCAACGTTGTCGATTGTGGGCAGTAACGACCGAAGACAATGGGTGAGGTTGTGTAATACCTTGGACTGATCAATATTAGACATTAACACCGTTGGATGCCAGCTCCGTGGTCTAGAAGTTAAGCGTTCGCACACGAGAGCTAACGACTCGTGTTCAATTCCCCCGAGCAGAGGTTGTGAATTCGCAGCACTGAAGAGTCCTATACTAGGACGAAACGATTGTCCTTCAATGCTTCTTTGTTTCCAATGATGGTCTAACTATTGTGGTGCTGTGTTGCGAACTACTTATAAGTAGTATATAGCGTGAGTGTCAACGTAAAGTCTGGTAGCATAATATGGGGGGAAGATCAAGAAAGGAAGAGTCAGAAAACAATGGAATTTGTATGAAACGCATGAAGAGTGACAATGGATTGATGTTTGGCAACAGGAACAGTCCAGTTCCATAGGATGAACTGATCCTTTGCAAATGAACGATTTACGATATGGTTTTCCGATTTTACTGACTAACTCTGTAATTTTCGTTAAATACAATTCGGTTGCCTCCACCTGTGTTCTCATTCACTACACTATGATTGATTCACAATTCCAATGTAAAACAACAATCTCTACAATTCTAGAATAAAAAATGTGTATATTAATTTTTTCAATTAAGGGATAGATAATATTGAGTGGTTGTTATATAAGTCAGTCAATTAACAATGATGATGATTTGTGACAAGATCGGTCGGTAATCGTAATAATAATGATAATAATAATAGTAATACTGTTTAGATAAATCAAATATTTAGTAAAAATGTTTTTATTTATTATTAAAATGAAATAATTTATTTAAATAATATTGTAATTTTAATTGGATTCTCTTTCTCTCTCTCTCTCTCTAAATATCTTTAAATATAGATTCTTATGTGTAAATGTTGGTCAAATGAACCAACTGAAAGACCATCAATGAATGAAATTACTAAACAACTAATAGAAAATGTAAGCTTTGATAATTTATTTCGAAGTGTACATATATTATATACATGTGCAATAGAATATTCTGTTAAATTAACTCTGAAATTAATTTTCAAGAGAGCCGTTCTCCAATTGACCTTCCTGGCATGATAGAACCTTCAGGAAGATATGTTTCAGGCAATATAGCTCGGTTGTGTCATCACGATAGCGAGTCCGACTACCACGTTAAGGTAGCAGCTACGGTAGAGTAGACGATATTCGTAAGTTGCCTGTCTTCGGTTATAGGTGTCTCGTGCATTGCTTGTGTATCCTGAGACAACCGAGTAAGCAATGCTGTCGTTAGGAAATGAGTCCTAGGTAGGGATGGCAAATCAATAGATGAAATAGTAAAACTTCATCAGTTGAGGTGTTTGGGACATGTGTTACGAATGCCTAACCACGGACTGCCGCGACGAGCTATTTTTTGTGGTGTAGGAGTAGGTTGGAAGAAAGGTAGGGGCTGCCAAACCAAAACATGGCACAAATCCATGAGGTCACTGACAAATGGACTGAGTCATGTTGGTAGATGTAGACTACCTGGTTGGGGTCCGCGAGACGAAAGTCACCAATGGTTAGAGACCATGAACCACATGGCGCAGAATAGTTCGCAATGGCGCAGGTGCATCCACTCTTTGTGTTCTCTCAAATTCTAACCTTCTAAATTCCTCATAGTCTCTACCTTTCTCCTTCTTAATTTATCTTGCTGAATTATACTTCTCGAGTCATATCTTTGCTCCCTAATCTTCTCTATTACTGATAATACTTTTACTATCGTTATCACTCTTGGATTTGAACTGACCGTTGCGTCTCTGTGCTGATGTGGTATGGCAACATGAACTGATGTACTTACGTACGGAGTTCTGAGTTCTATCTCTCTGTCATTTAGAGTGTTATGGAGTTGGTAGTTTTACCTTGAAATCATGAATGAATCATTGTTAGACCTAAATTAGAAACCTGGCAGCACTGGACGGTTGTTTCATCCTGGTTTGGGACCTATCAGCAGTGAGCATTCATGACTCCTAACAATGATTCATTCATGATTCAAAGTAAAACTACTATCTCCATAATACTAGCAATGAAGAATCATACAATTCGCTCAATAGTGACTAGTTCTAGTGAGAAGACGTGACCATTGAAGTTCAACCCTGTCGGGTGTAGGCAGTAACTATCAAAGACAAATGGGTGAGATCGTGCAAAATCCCTAAATAGATAAGAGTTAGACATTAACACCGTTGGAGGCCGCCTCAGTGATCCAGAGGTTAAGCGTTCTCGCACAAGACAGAAGGTCGTGGGTTCGAATCCTACCAGCAGGAGTCGTGCTTGCGCCCCACTGATGAGTCCCACCCATACCAGGATGATACAGTCATCCAGTGCTCCCAAGTTTCTAATAGTTGTCTAACAATCATTCATTGATGATTTCAACGAAAAACTAAGAAATTGTTTAACAATGTTAGTGAACGCAATTTGGTGAAATATTAGCCAAGTCAATTATTTTAACCGACCAATGAATTCAATGCATATCCAGAAAGCAAAAAACAAAGATTAGTGTAAAATGATATGAGCTCATTTTATATTAGGCTAGGTTCTCACTAGCTAATGACAATCGATAATAATTTTAAAATTACATTGATAAACTTATAAATAAGAAGTCAACTGAATACGTGTGTCATCATGTTTCAAAGTTCATGCTTTCCCTATTTCTCAAATAAATTTCTATAAGCATCCATGGTCCCTTAAACAATTTATTGTACTTATTAATTCCTCTGCTAGTGTATGTCAGAAGTATATAATTTTTTTCTGTTTTGTGAAATAGTTTTTTTTTTTTAATCAATACATATCCGTTGTAACCAAAAATTCAGATAAATTCTATTCCATGTATATTTTCTAGAAAATGAACAGTGATAGCGTCAGTTCTTTTTCGTTTTATTATGATTTCAAGATAATGAGACATGTTTTCAATTGCATGTTAGTTAGTAAAAACTATTTAGGGAACAATGGATACCCACATAAGTTTATCGAGAAATATAGAAAACGTGAAGATAAGAAGTCCAAAGAAACTACAGTAAACACAAGATCTATTTTTAAAGATGATGATGTTATAGAGACAAACAACCTGATATTAAAAACTGCATTAACAAGAGCATATCATACAACTGATTTGAATGTTATGTTCAAAACAGCATTTCTAGTAACACAATCAAATGGTCAAAAAGCATTCTTTTCATGTTACAGCTAACAAATCGACATGTATCTGCCAAATCAGTGACATTCGTAGAACAGAAAGAAGAGATAAAGACCGATTTAGAGAAGTTAGTACAAAAGGTCTAAGATCAAGTAGACACTGAGGCATTTAGGAGTGCAGTCTCTAGGCATCCCTCCTTGACATAGGACATCAGATGGATACACTGAAGTCTTTCAACGTAATTAATAAACAATCGAGTCCATGTCTTCCCGTCTGAAACTAAATTAACGTGTTCAAAAAGGGAATAGTAATAAATCTTTCTTCATCCTCGTAACATTACAATCATTCTATTATATCATCCTTATTTTCAACTATTTCTCATGCTTTGATTACATCATTTTCAGTTCTCTTGAATTCATAGTCTTCAGTCGAATTGACTGATTTCATAACTTTCTGTTTTTTGAAATTCTCCTTCTCTCTTGAAGCAAATTTCTTTTCAAATATTAACAAACCATTCCCTTTCTAGATGAATAAATAATATATAGAACACACAAGGCGCTACCTTAGTTCTAATAGGTTCACTCTAAATCGTCAGTATAAAATACTTTATTAGTCTAAATCCAACAGATATAGCTACTGAAATGTCCTTTGCTAACATCATGTAACATTTCCAAGAAATACAATATCGTAGTAAGTATTATATAGAATCTTACTTCTGAGTAACAAATCATATTGGCGGCAAGCAAATGAACCAATACAATTGTATTTTACGTGTACCCGTATGCTTCACAAATACTTACTTTGATGGACAAAGTAGAAGTAGGTTGGAACTGGGCTAAAGCCCAATGTAGCATCTTTTCATTAAATAATTAAATGTTGATCTGTCTGTCATGTTGGCAGGTACAGAATATTTTATTGTGGTCTCCTCAATAACTGCGATCAGTGGTTACAGACGTCAAGTGATATGTCAAAGAAATAAGTTACAATAGTCTATTCAGTCTTTTCGAACTTTACTGAGAACCCTTTATTATGATCCCCCTTTCACATTCATACAAGTATAAACAGGAGAACGCAGACAATGAGATGACATTGTTAATCGTATTATTCACATGGAATTTGTTTTCGTGGATGTAATTAGTTACTCATATACTGTAGATGTTCTATATTTATGTATACATCTCGGTGGATCCATATGTGTTAAACACGTTGTTTGATAGAAAAAGATAGAGTCTTGAAGTTATTAGCGACAGTCAAAGTACACACTCCATTCAACTATTCATTCTCATCGCCTATTCGCATATATGAAATGTATAAAACCAGCTACAATTAGTAATTTTACTTGATAGTACCATCGTTGTACAAATAAGAAGCAATATTTCATCATTGTTACCGATTGAGATGAGATTAGAGGCTGAATAGAACATAATTCACGTAACTGTTATTAAATATTTTTCACCTTTTTAAAGATTCATTTCGTGAATGTACGATATCACTTGTTCAGAAGAACGTAACCAAAACATTTAGGGGAGGCGAAACAAAAACATGGCAGAAATCCATGAAGTCATTGACAAGTGGACTGAGTCATGTTGGTAGATGTAGACTACATGGTAGAGGTCCGCGAGATGAAAGTCACCGAGCGTTAGAGACCTTGAACGACATGGCTTAGAATCGTTTGCAATGGCGCAGGTGCATTCACTCTCTGTGTCGTCTCAAATCGTAACCTTCTGGATTCCTCGTCTCTATCTCTCTTTCGAAATTTATCGCACTGAGTTATACTTCTCGAATCATATCTTCGAACTCTAATCCTCCCCATTATCGCTAATACTCCTACTGTCTCGACCACTGCGTTTTGAACTGATTATTGCGTCTCTGTGCTAATGTGGTATAGCAACTTGAACTCACGTACGCACGCACGAAGTTAAACGTTGTAACTGACTGACTGACTGAGAACGAAACTCCAGCATAAAAGCACACATTTTCGCAGGGCTCATTACGAACCATATTTTATTTGATACATATTTCACATTTACTTGATTGTCTACTCAACAATAAATTTTAAAATGATACGTACGTTTTTGCAAAAAAAATAAAGTCCGGTTTATGCAGTTATCAGTACGATGTTGTGATGCGATCAATATTAGAGAAGAATAACGCACTTCTCCCATTGACATATTGAAATTATCACTGTTAGACCACCATTAGAAACCTGGAAGCCCTGGACGGCCTTCTCGTCCTGGTATGGGACTCATCAACAGTGAACATCCACTACTTCTTCACCTCGCAGGATTCGAACCCAGGACCTTCGGTCTTGCGCGCGAACACCTAACCTCTGGGCCGGCATCCAACGGTGTCAATCTCTAACTCTGATCAATCTACTGGATAAAACTTCTGTCCAAACACACTTGTTACCCAGATCTTGTTCAAGTGAACAAATCTATTAGCATTATCAACAATTACAGTGCAGTAGAAGTTCTTTTTCAGTTAGTCAACCCCTTTTTAAAAATGACTATTCATCAAAACAAAACAAAAAAACACAGTTTGAATAACATGATTATTATTATTTTTCTTCTATATTTTTACAGCATGGTTTGTATCGACGCAAGTTCTCAGATCCGGTACATTAAGAATTTTACAAGAAAACAACTAAATTTTTCTCCTTTTGAATGCAAATTGAATAGTTTTTTGATAAAATGAATAATCTTTAAAAAAAAACTGAAGAAGATGATGATGAACTAACCACCGCACAACATTTACTTTTGAAAATTTTTTTTAAAAAAAAAAGAACATGCTTTATTGTTTGGTCACAACAGAAACTATATATATATATATTTATATATAATTCATAATACACTACTTAACATAAAAGCAATCATGTACTACTACTTACTACTACTACTTCAATTAATTGATGAATGAAATAAATAATACATCATACCATTATTACACTAATAATTTGTCTTCTGTTTTTTCCTTTTTACTAATATAAAATAAAAATGCTTATGAAAAAGAAAAACCATTGCTTTTGAACACAACAAGAAAAGAGAAATCGAACTAATGGTACTTACAACACACAGCCGCCAACATCTACACATCTACATATATATAATATACCATTATGAATCTGGAATTAATCTGTTTTACTTTTCTTTAAAAAAAAAACAACTGATTTGTGTTTGTGTATAAAATGTACAAATTGTGATAAGTTAGTTAATTAGTTAGTTATACAGTGTGTGTGTGTGTTTGTAACTTGTATTTGTCAACCAGAAAAAAAGAAAAGAAATGAGTGATATATATATATATATATATATATATATATAAAATAGAACACAGAATTAAGCAATAAATATATATATATATACATACAGATTTGTCGAAAGATATAATAGATGAATGTGGAAGAGAAAGAACCTGGAAAGTTTATTAGATATATATATATATATATCCAGAATAAGATAAAAAAACTTTTCCATTCACTTTCTAATGAATGAATGAATCAGTGAATGAATCAATCAATCTAACAAAGAGAGAGAGGTAAAGATTTCTTTTTTATTTCATAATAAAGAGAATGATTTTTTTTTAACAAGCTAAAATCACAAACTAAATAATTAAAAAAAATAAATAAAGCTTTTTGAATTTTATTCAAACACCAAGCATTGAATAAATATCTCGATCGTCATCTCTGTCTGAACGACGTCGACTAGACAATAATGGATCATGGCTATCTAATTTCGCACGATTTGAATTGGAACGTTGAATATGAGGATGTGTGGTTGGTGGTGTTGTTGTTGTATGTCTTGGATTCGTAGGATAATGACGTGCACCATGTGGATGATGATGATTATTATTATTAAAAGGTTGTCTTGGATATGAGTTCGTCGCATGGTGTACAACATCTGAACTAGTACTAGGAAACTTGACAGCACGATTAGTGACAGATGGATTTCTACTAGTTTGTTGTTCAGAGGCTTTATATGAAATTTCAGATGAAATATAAGAATTCATCATGGCAATATTATCAGAGCTGGGAGGATGAGAACCTCTTGATAGTAGTACTACACATTGATTTGGTTCATTTAGTGAACTAGAACTAATTTGATTATTGCGATTGATAGGTTCTGCTGTATGTGTGGTGTTATTTTCGAAATTCCTGTTATTGGCATTATTATTCTTATGAGATAACAACAGTGGTAGTTCTTGTTGTTGATGTGGTTGTTGTTGTTGTTGTAAAGAAGAAGAAGACGACGAAGAAGATAAAGGAGTCAGAGAGTTAGGTGCATTCGAATGAATTGGTCTATGTGTGAATAGTATACGTTGAGATGTAGGAAGTGGTGGTGGAGGAGGTGGCGGAGAAACAATTGGATTGGTAGTTGTGGATTTTTGTAGTTGAGTAGTTTCATTAGAACATGTGTCTACTGCACTACTACTACTACTAGTTGATGTTGTCATACTATTTTTACGCATAGCTAAATCATACAACCGTGCAATACGTGTATCCAGATCTTCAGCCGATGGACTAACAAAAGGTATTTCATGATGAGTATGATGATCATCATCATCAATAGGAGAAATATGGGATTTCATCTCATCAGCCATCTTAGAATTGTTAGGAGATAGTTGATCATTCGGTAAAATTTCATGAGATTGAAGACTATTGTCAGTAAGTTGTCTAGATGTATCATTTTTGCTGGATTCATCTTCAGCGCTAAGAGCGGATTTAAGATAACGTTGATAATGCTCTAATGGATGTGGCAGAGCATGTGGACTACGACCTCGATGAGGTGGAGTTCGAGTTTCTCGAGAAATACTGTTGTTGCTTGCTATATCGCGAACTTTACGACGATCGGAATGGACATTCGATTGCTTAGTTGTTGAAGCAAGTTCTTGAATACCACCACCTCCGTTATTTGTGATTCTACCAGAATGAGATGATTCTTTTGGTAGTTTTATCGATGAATCAGGTGAAGTTTTTAATTCTTGAGTTTGTTCAATGGTGCAACGAGTTGGGATATATGGCCGATACGGTGGAGGAGGATCTTCTGAAGGATGAAGAGAATGAGGAATGTAAGCACGTGAGGAAGATTGAGGCGGTGTAGCATCAACATTTTGACGATTTGACTGAGATGGTGAAGAATAGTTGGTTAGTGAGTGACCATGATTCCTGTAAGGATTTTGTATCGGTACATTTGGGAAAACAGGATATGGATATAGTGTATTATTTGTAATGAGAAGATGAGGATGATATGTACCCATATACGTTGCTGATGAACTACAACTGATATCTGACATAGGAGTCACTGTAAAACCAGCTTGTTCAGGTGTAGTCGATAGAGATATACTTTTATTCTGAATAAAATTGCTCTGTTCAGATGAAGATTGAACAATGGGAAATTTACAATCAGATTGTTGGATTAAATAAGTATCAGTTGGTTCTTCTGGTTCTTCATACACATCTAGAAGTTCAAATTCTTCTTCGATATCTTCATCTTCAGGTGGCATCTCATCAATATCTTTACATGTAGTCATTATATCAGTTGAATTTATGACTGTTTCCTTAGGTGAAATAAACTGAGTAGGAGTTTCTTCAGGAAGAGGTATATCCTGGACAGAGACATCAATCTGAAAACCTCCTTTTAAAGGTGAATGATGTGATGAATAAGATTGTGACTCACAATCTGTAGTATTTAGTTTAATTGTGGCAGTTGTAGCTTTATCCGTATTAACAGTCGATTGGTCAAATCGCTCTAAAGATTTGGATACATTAGGTGTTGCATCAATAGAAGACGGAGATTGTAAAGTTTCCGAAGTCCGTTTTGCCTTTTCATCACAGGTTTTCTTAACATCTGGTATATCACTTTTTGTAGAGCGTATTGTCAACTGGAATAAGTCAGCCATAGACTTAGGCCCCATATATGGTGGAATAGAATTGCCTGACATTGATACAGTTTCTTCCAAAGAATCACCTTTATTAAAGCAAGGTAAATGTTTCTTCATATGACGCTGTTGATGTTTGATTAGTTCAGCATGAGCAAGATCCAACTAAACATGAACATAAAGAAAGAAGGATATGTCGATTGAGAGAGTATACTCACTAATAGAATAAAAAAAAGGCATTTAGCATAAGAGACCGAAAATACATTCTGTATAGTAAATTAGTGTGTGTATACACTGAAAAACCATTATAATTTATTAATATACAAAAAATCATTCAGGTTTGATTATTGAGTCATGGACTTGTAAACAATTTGTAGAATGAAACATTTTCATATCTAAATCATGATTGGAGATAACTAGTGTTTTCTTTTAATTGAAGAGGTGTAGTCAGAGCCAATGCAGAATTATTTAAATCTAAAATGATCATTACCATAGGAATTGGGAAAAGCTTTCAATAGTAAAAACTGAAGCAGAATATTTGCCTTCAAATTTTTATTTTAGGTAGACAGCTTATAACCAAGTAAGTTTTCAATAGTAGTCTGTCTTATCCATTGAAAAAAATAATCCAATGATACTGATACTGATATCTAATGGTATAATTTTGCTGACGTTTCAATAATAACACTTGAAAACACATTTATTTTGACTTTGATATCGAGTGGAGTGGATTAAAATCGCTGATGAGTATCAACTAGAACGAAAAACTTCAGTCTATCGATTTCCGTCAACTACATTTAACCACGTAGCAGGTGCCTAAGCAGTAGCAGGTCTCAACATACACAAACCGAAAAGCAAGATTCTCCGATACAGTACAACATGCGCCAACCAAATCACACTTGATGGAGATGCCTTGGAAGACGTTAACACCTTTACATATCTGGGCAAAATCACTGACAAGCGGTGGATCTGATGGAGATGTGAAGACACAGATCGGGAAAGCAACGGCTGCATTTCTACAATTGAAAAATATCTGGAACTCAAAACACCTATTAACAAACACTGAAGTCGGAATTTTCAATAGAAATATCAAGACGGTTCTGATGTATGGGGCGGAAACTTGGAGGAATATCAAAGCCATCAACTGGAATATACAAGTATTTATTAGCAGTTCTCTACGCAAAATACTTCGGATTCGTTGGCCAGACACCATCAACAACAACCTACTGTCAGAGAGAACAAACCAGATTGCAGTGGAGGAAGAAGCACTGGAGGTAGATAGGAAACACATTGAGGAAATCTCGCAACTGCATCACGATGAAAGCCCTCACTTGGAACCTTTATGGTCACGGGAAAAGAGGAAGGCCATAGAACATGTAACACATGGAATCGGAGACAGACATGAAAAGAATGAGCAGCAGTTGGGTTGAAGAGGAAAGGAAGGCCTAGGACAGCGTAGGCTGGAGATAGCTGGTCGGCGGCCTATCTTCAATTGAGGTTAACCTGCGTATGTAAGTAAGTAAGTAAGTAAGTGCCTTCAACCACCAACCTACAGTCATATTATAGCAATCTGCTACTGTTTTCAACTGACCTGTAAATGGTGCCTAAACAAATATGTACAAAGGAAGCATAATATTTGGCAGAAATCAACAACAGGCAACAAATATATCTATATTATGATAAATACAGAAAAAACTCACTTCATTTTTATCAGCAGTAGCATAAAGTTGAAGAAATTTATTAAATACTTTTTGTGCAGCAATTTTTACTTCTAATGAACGTTTGTATCGACGGCACTAAAAATCAAATCAATAAATAATGACAATATTTCATGATCAAAATAGAATGAACTGATTCAATCAGTGTGTTGTACTTGGATATGAACTACTCTACACTATAAGTGTGAAGGGTGATAATACTACTTCACAATTGCATAAAACTTCAGTAAGTGAAGCAATGTACAAACTTGTAACTTGATTTGACGAAAATCAAATACCTTAAACATTAAGGCTATCGCTTCATTGAAATAAAATACAAGTTAAAATCATTAGAAAGATAAACTTGATAGTCCTAGATTTATCAACTGAAGTAAATGAATCTTTCAAATGATTCTCACAATGCTGTTTAACAGAATCGTTGAGCATGAATGAGATGACATGTAAGAATCATCTATTCGGAGATTTCAACAAACTAACCATAATTTTAAAATAAAAATCCAGTTACACTAAAAGCTGTCTTTTATGTTCATAAAAAATATAAATATTTCTATTTATTACCTTGGGAAGTTTTGTGCAACTTTGATATTCAACTACATCGACCGTTATCATTGTTGAAATCTAGATATGTACGATCAGTTTGGAGGTGGAATTTCGTTCTCGGAGCTGGATGTTTTGTTCTTCAAATAGAAGTGAAGTATTCGAAATTCTGAATATCTAAAATTGGTGCTAATGATGTTGTTGTTCAGAAGAACAATGAAAGCTCCACAACCAAACGATCCAGCTCAGCGAACGAAACTCCACCAAAACCATTCAACTGAGTTACAAGTTTTTCCACCATCTCAAAACGTTATTTATTAGTTTAATATGAAGAAAATTACTTGATACGTGAGTGTATTACTGTTATTTTTCGCCTGATTACTATTATACTAACAACCATTTCGGGTAAATAAATAAACATAAATGAATTACGGTATGTAGTCAGTCAGTCAGTTGCAACGTAGAACTTCGTACGTATGTACATAAGTTCATGTTGCCATACCACATTATTAGCTCAGAGACGCAAATGTCAAATCAAATTCCATAGTGATAAAGATAGTAGAGGTATTAATGTTAATAAAGAAGACTAGGGTTCGAAGATATTATTCAAGAAATATAATTCAGTGAGATAAGGTTAGAAAGACAAAGGTAGAGGTGCTGGCTAATCCAGAAGATTAGGATTTGAGAGAGCTCAAAGAGTGGATGCACCTGCGCAATTGCAAATGATTTTGGGCCATATCGTTCAAGGTCTCTAACCATTGGTGACTTTCGTCTCGCAGACCCTAACCAGGTAGTCTACATCTACCAACATGACTCAATCCACTTGTCAATGACTTCATGGATTTCTGCCATGTTTTGGTCTGGCCGCCCCTAACTTTCTTCCAACCTATTCCTACACTACAAAACAAAGCTCGACGAGGCAGTCGGTGGTTCGGCATACGCAACACATGTCCCAACCACCTCAACTGATGAAGTTTCACCACTTCATCTATTGATCTGCCATCCTTACCTAGTACTCGTTTCCTAACGACATCATTGCTTACTCGGCTGTCCAACGATATACGAGCAATGCTTCTTAAACATCTATGATCGAATACTAGCAACCTACGAACATCTACTCTTAACGGCCATGTTTCGCAGCCATATAAGAGAACGGAACGAACTGCTGTGCAGTACACCCGCCCTTTGGTTAGAGAACAGATATCACGCCTACGCCATAAGTGACGCAGGTTCGCAAAATTCAATCGAGCTTTCTGTATCCGAGCTGAGATTTCGTCAGTCACCAGGCCATCAGCACTGATGAGACTCCCCAGATAAGTGAAGCGATCAACACTCTCTACTACTTCACTCCCTATCACTAGTTTAGGTGCCGATGCAACCCAGTCTTGAGGCACTATTTTGCATTTCGAGGGGGAAAACCGCATCCCGAACATGCTCGCGTTGTTGCTTATGGTAGTCAGAAGACTCTGCATTTTGTCAGCGTCTTCACCGAATAGAACTATGTCATCGGCATATTCTATATAATACAAACGTGAAACCTCGTAGCGCCGATAAAAACAAGTAAATTCCCATGTGATCAGTAACTGATGAGTGAACATGTTTACTAAGCTCTAATGATGGTCGGTATAATTTTCTTAAAGCAATTATTCAAAAAATTGATGGCTGATGTCATGAACAGCGTAACTGATGTGAAATTTAAAAGCGAAGAAAATAGAAAATTTCTTCCATAAAGACTGAACTACAACGAATAAGCTTGAAAAATGAAATACTAGAAACAAAACATAAAAACTAACTCATCGAACTCAACTTTCTCATGAAAAAATAATCTCTCTTGTATTGAAAACGAATAGTCTGTTGTTAACAGACAAATTCAATGCATAATTAATTTCACTTACTTTTCGTATTGTCTCCACCACTGTCCAACATCTAGCCATTATTGGTAAAGAAATAGTCATTTTATCAAGAAGTTCAAGCCTATCAACACATGTGGCAATATCCTCATGACCTTGAATGAGGCTTGATTTTATAGAACGATCAATTAGCAGTAGGCGTTCTTCAGTATCCAAATCTTTCAACTGTTGCTCTTTGTCTTTTACGTCTTGGTTGTTGAAAGTCGCAGCGGTGCTTGGCGAGACAATAACGGTGGAATTAGAACTAAATTTTAAAGGAGAAGAAGCAATCACGAAAGAATGATGTCGAGTCGATAAGTTTTAGATTTAATTTAAGGTTATTTCATTTGTTTTAAAAATGGCAGATAGAAAGCAAGAGTGGTGGGACAATTTTTATTATCTGTTTTAAAAGATTACCTTATAGTGAATGAAATAATAATAATTTGCCACAATCTATCAGATTTCGCATTATAGTACTATGGAAATCGTTGTTTTGCAGTGAAATCATCAATCAATCATTGTTAGACCACCATTAAAAACTGCAAGCATTCGACGACCACTTCGTCCTGGAATGGTACTCATCAGCAGTGTGCATTCACGACTTTTGCTACTCGCAGGATCTGAACCCAGTGTGGTGTGAGCTACTTATAAGTAGTATATGACGTGAGTGTCAACGTAATGTCTGGCAGCAGAAAATGGGGGAAGATCAAGAAAGGAAGAGTTAGAACACAATGGAATTTGTATGAAACGCATGAATAGTGACAATGGATTGATGTTTTGCAACAGGAACAGTCCAGTTCCATATGATGGACTGATATTTTGCAAATGAACGATTTACGATATGGTTTTCCGATTTTACTGAGTAACTCTGTAACATTCGTTAAATATAATCCGGTTGCCCCACGTGTGTTCTCCTTCACTACACCAGGACCTTCGGTGTCGCGAGGGAACGCTTAACCTGTGAACAACTGAGTCGGCATCCAATGGTGTCAATGTCTAACTCCAATCAATCTAAGGATTTTATGCAACCTCACACAGTGTCTTCAGAAGTTACTGCCAACACTAGAAGATTGAGCTCCACTGTTTACACACTGTTGAAGAGTCCCATACTAGAACGAAACGACCATCCAGTGCTTCTAGGTTTCTAATAATCCTGGTCTAACAATGATTCATTCATTTATTGACCATTCCATAGACTGAATGTGTAAACACACGCATGATATTTTGGGTATGATCATTTAGTATGTTTGATTATATCATTTAAAAATTAATCGATTTTAAGAAATATTATGTAGACAGTAATATTTCGAATAGACGTGTATATATTATATTATACAGGGTTATATTTACCATAATGAACTCAATAAAAAAGAAATATTTCATTTAAACATGATTAACACTAACTAAACGGGATTAATTGCAATAGAACACAATACTAAAAGTATTACCATAAAAACCAACTATAAAAACACAGAATTCACAATACCAACTGATAAGGAAAAGAAAAAAAGTGCTTGTCTTAATTGGGAAAATTTGAACACTGTGTACTAAATAATGATAATAATAAGAGGGGAATTCTCGAATATGATGATCTAGTCACTAATGCTATTTATAAGTCAATTTAACTTTTTATACGCACACAGTTTGGTAGTGAAAAAAAAAATTTTGATATTTTTTGTTACAGATTCACATACTACTTCGCATATGTGCAATAAATATTTGTAAATCAATGATGACTTAGACATCAAGTGGAATGACTTTATGTACGAGTTTCTTAGTATGTAAAAAAAGATCCAATAGAATGATAACTTGATGGGTAAATGACTATGTCTTCAACCAGCTGTCAGTCAGTTACAACGTAGAACTTCGTACATCCGTACATCAGTTCAAGTTGCCACACCTCAATGTCAATTCTAATACCATAGTAGTAGAGGTGGTAGAAGTATTAGCAGTAATCGGAGAGATTAGGGTTCGAAAATATTATAATCGGAGAGTATAGTCTATTAAAATAAACTTAAAAAGAGAAAGATAGAGGTGATGAGGAATTCAGAGGATTAGGATTTGCGAGAAGCCAAAGAATTGATGCACTTGCACCATTGCAAACGGTTTTGAGTCATGTCGATTTCTTCTACTTTTACTGGCCATGTTTCATAGCCATCAAATAGGGCAGAGTGATCTGCTGCGCAGTACACTCGTTCTTTGGTAAGCAACCAGATTTCTCGCCTATGCCATAAGTGACGCAAGTCGACAAAAGCCAATTCATTTACTAGTAGATTAATATGAATACAAACATGAATTTCAGTCGAAAAATGTATAGTTTTTTATCAAAATAAGAAGCTTACCTAACAACTGACGAGGTTCTCACATCAACTGATTTGGAAGTCAACTCCATCTGTGTTAAAGTCAATAGAATAATAACAGTCACAATACTGAATAAACATAATATTCATGGAATTTTCAATTGGTAAGCAAAGTAACAATGCAAACAAACAACTCCTAGTACATGATTTTAAGATAGTAAATGATAGTAATGATATTAATCCTAACTCCGTTGCAACTGTTATGATGGGAGATTTTATCATTCATTCTTGATGAAAGTTGATCGATAGGTAAAACAGAATGATATGACAATATACTAACTATATCGAGTGACAACCGCTCATAAGAACGCCTTATTGATGTAACACCTTTTAATGAACTAACATCAACACAATAAGTGTTTCTATCTAGTAAAATAATGATTATATGATACTAAATATAAAATGCAAACATGATTAGACACCAACAAGAGCACAATTGAGGTCACCCAAAGTGACAATAAAATAAGAAACTAATTTATTGCTTAAATTCGCACTCCGTTACATGATTACCATCAAAACGCACGAATCCTGTGGCTTTAATGTTGGTTGCCGCTGACAAAGGAGAAAATATTTCATTTCGTAAATCTGAATGATATCGGATACGTGATCAAAAGAAAATGGGGATATTCCTGAAATGTATCAGAGTAACTTCATTAATAACTCCGCCAGTAGAACCTTCGAATCAACTGCCGGTCCCAAGCCCGGGTAAAGGAGGAGGGTTGGACATGGGGTTGGCGACCCCATTCCGTCAAAAACTAACTTGCCAAAAAAACGCTAACCAGAAAAAATAATTCAAACCATTTTAACTCTGCCCTGGGAGTTGGAAGAACAATTATGACGTCGCGTGATGAAAGCCGAGTTCCCTCGGAAGTCACGGGGCTGATGCCTCTTCTGACAACCAGAGCAACCATTTTTTTAGGTACATGGAACGTTCGTACATTGTGGGAGACTGGAAGACTATTTCAAGTTGCGGCAGAAATGAAAAGATACAACCTCGAGGTGCTCGGCATCAGTGAAACACATTGGACACAAGTAGGACAACTGAGACTAGCTTCAGGGGAACTGCTGTTATACTCTGGTCATGAAGAGGAAAATGCTTCACATACACAAGGAGTTGCACTGATGCTTTCCAAACATGCACAAAAGGCACTAATAGGATGGGAATCTCATGGAACCAGGATCATTAAAGCATCCTTCAAAACAAAGAAACAGGACATTACAATGAACGTCATCCAATGTTATGCACCTACCAACGACTACAATGACGACGATAAAGATCAATTCTACGAAAGGCTGCAGTCGATCGTCGAGAAATGTTCACCAAAGGATTTGACGATTCTTATGGGAGACCTGAATGCCAAGGTTGGAATGGACAACACTGGATATGAAGACATCATGGGACGACATGGATTGGGAGAAAGAAACGAAAACGGTGAGAGATTTGCAAACCTATGTGCCTTCAACAAACTGCTCATCGGTGGCACAATATTCCCACACAAACGCATACACAAAGCTACATGGATTTCACCGGATCACACTACTCAAAACCAGATTGATCATATCTGTATCAACGAAACGTTCAGAAGGACTATGGAGGATGTGAGAACCATGAGAGGAGCTGATGTAGCCTCAGATCACCATTTGCTAATCGCCAAAATGAAACTGAAACTAAAGAAGCACTGGACAACGGGACAGACAACATCACACAAGTTTAATACGGCCTTTCTTCGGGATACTGTAAAGCTCAACGAATTCAGGATAGCCCTCAACAATAGGTTCCAGGCCTTTCAGGATCTACACAATGGAGAGGACGCAACATTGGAGAACAATTGGAAAGGGATTAAGGAGGCAATCACTTCAACATGTCAGGAGGTCCTTGGTCGCAAGAAGCACCATCACAAGGAATGGATCTCTGTTGATACTCTCGCAAAAATTGAAGAAAGGATGAACAAGAAGGCAGCAATCAATGTCAGCCGAACAAGAGCAGAGAAAGTTACCGCACAAGCTGCATACACAGAAGCAAACAGGGAAATGAAGAAGAGCATCAGAGCTGACAAACGAAAATATGTGGAAGATCTAGCAATGACGGCGGAAAAGGCTGCAAGAGAAGGAAACATGAGACAATTGTACGAAACTACAAAGAAGCTCGCCGGGAACTATCGTAAACCAGAACGACCAGTGAAAAACAAGGAAGGCAAAGTAATCAGCAACACTGAAGAACAGCGAAATAGGTGGGTAGAGCACTTTAAGGAACTCCTAAATCGACCAGCTCCTCTGAAGACACCCAACATCGAAGCAGCATCCAAGGACCTCCCAATTAATATTGGCGCACCTACGATTGAGGAGATCAGTATGGCCATCAGACAAATCAAGAGCGGAAAACAGCAGCAGGACCAGACAACATTCCAGCAGAGGCAATGAAAGCAGATGTAGAAGCAACTGCGAAAATATTTCACATCCTCTTCAAGAAGATTTGGGATGAGGAACAAGTACCATCAGATTGGAAAGAAGGATACCTCATCAAAATACCAAAGAAAGGAGATCTCAGAAAGTGTGAGGACTACACAGGCATCACTCTGCTTTCAGTACCAGGCAAAGTCTTCAACAAGGTATTGTTAAACAGAATGACGGACTTCGCAGACGCCCAACTTCGAGATCAACAGGCCGGATTTCGTAAGGATCGATCGTGTACTGACCAAATCGCTACATTACGGATCATTGTGGAACAATCAATTGAATGGAACTCACCACTCTGCATCAACTTCATCGACTACGAGAAAGCATTCGATAGCGTGGACAGGAAAACACTGTGGAGTCTTCTTCGACACTACGGTGTGCCTGAGAAAATAGTTAACATCATACGGAACTCTTATGATGGATTCAACTGCAAAATCGTGCACGGAGGACAGCTAACCGACTCTTTCGAGGTGAAGACCGGTGTCAGGCAAGGTTGCCTACTCTCAACCTTTCTCTTTCTCTTAGTGATCTACTGGATTATGAAAACGTCAACATCTGGAGGGAAGCACGGTATCAACTGGACAACTAGGACGCAGCTGGACGATCTGGACTTCGCAGATGACCTGGCTCTTCTATCGCACACGCAACAACAAATGCAAGATAAGACGACCAGTGTAGCAGCAGGCTCTGCAGCAGCAGTAGGTCTCAACATACATAAAGGAAAAGTAAGATTCTGCGATGCAACACAACATGCACCAACCAAATCACTCTTGATGGAGATGCCTTGGAGGACGTGAACACTTTTACATATCTGGGCAGCATCATCGACAACCAAGGTGGATCCGATGCAGATGTAAAGGCACGGATTGGCAAAGCAGGGGGTTGCATTTCTACAGTTGAAAAATATCTGCAACTCCAAACAACTTTCAACCAAAACCAAAATCAGGATTTTCAATGCAAATGTGAAGACAGTTCTACTGTATGGAGCGGAAACTTGGAGAACTACGAAAGCCATCATCCAGAGGATACAAGTGTTTATTAACAGCTGTCTACGCAAAATACTTCGTATTCGTTGGCCAGACACCATCAGCAACAACGAACTGTGGGAGAGAACAAACCAGATTCCAGTGGAGGAGGAAATCAGGAAGAAGTGGTGGAATTGGATAGGACACACTCTACGAAAAGCACCTAACTGCGTTACAATACAACCCCTCACATGGAACCCTCAAGGCAAAAGGAAAAGAGGAAGGCCAAAGAATACATTACGCCGAGAAATAGAGAAAGATATGAGAGGAATGAACAAACATTGGACAGAACTGGAGAGGGAAGCCCATGACAGAGTTGGTTGGAGAAAACTGGTGGGCGGCCTATGCTCCATTGGGGGTAACAGGCGTAAGTAAGTAAGTAAGTAACTTCATTATTAATATAAACTTTTATCTTGACTTATTATTAAAACAAGCAACATAAATTATCCAACCACAGCAGCTACCTTAACGTGGTGGTCGGGCTTGCCTATCGTGATGACTCAACCGAGCTATATTGGTTGGAACATATGTTCCCGTAGGTTCTACCATGCAAGGCAGGTCGAAAGGAAAACGGTAAGATTTTGTTGGGGATGTTAGATCCCCAAAATTCACTTGATAATGCCGTATTTCGGTTTTTCACGTTCGCCAGCAGGGGCTGATCAAATGACCTTGAGATTTCAACTCCCACCAGGAAAATCAATGGCTGTGATTGGCCACAGTGTATTTTAGTATGCTATTTTCTTAACTGTCTCAAGGACGTTGTTATGTTGTATAAATAAACGAGAGTTGTATGCTTGATTGTACTGGGATTGCTGGGTGTTTGTAGAATATACTTTCTACGCTTACCAAGACTTCTGTTTTACCGTTTGGATTCAAGGTAGCCTTCCTGGAAGCTGGTAAAAGTATCGTTCGCGTTTATCGACTAAGTGGCGACGGGGTAAAAACCATATCCACAAAACATATCAGTGGCGACGGGGCTCACAATTCACAATGTCAATTAATCTTGAACAGTTAGAATCTTTACTGGAACGTCAAGGTAAACGATATGAACAGTTCCAGGAACGTATGTTGGAGCTGTTAATGAAACAAATGAATTTGAACCCACGAGATTGTTCGTTTTCTGAGACTGTTCAGACTTTAAGCCAACACTTTGGAGACAACTCGTCACTATTTAATACTCGTTATCGATGTTTGAAGCTTATTATGAACGAAGATGATGATTTTCTTACGCACGTGGGCATCGTCAACCGTGAATGCGAACGCTTTCGGTTGAAGTCTTTGTCGGAAGACCAGTTCAAAGCCCTCATTCTCATCTGCAGCCTCCAGTCGAGTAAGTTCAGTGACATTAGAACAAGGCTACTAAGTCGGTTGGAGCAAGATCCAAAGCTTACGCTTAATGATATGGCTCATGAGTACCAACGTCTCACTGACCTACAACGAGACTCGACTATAGTTCAGAGTGGTAGTTCAAGCCGATCTGAAATTCATTTGGTACAGCAGCCACCTAATCATTATAAGTCTGCCCATGCTACACCCAGTTCACCCCGCTCCAATTCGGCCCAAAAACCCAAAATGAATCCACCTTCTGCTTGCTGGCACTGCGGTTCATGGCACTATGTACGGAACTGCCCATTTAGGCAGCATAGATGCAGGAAGTGTAAAGTCATCGGTCATAAAGATGGCTTTTGCCTACAGAAAAAGCCAAAGCGATCCAGAAGTGCTAAGAAGCCTCTTCCTAGATCCAGTACCAATGCATTGAGCCTAATATCTTCCTGCCAAAGTTCATCACCAGGTGAGAGGAAATTTATTACTCTTAATATTAACGGTTATTTGTGTAGAATGCAAATAGATACTGCATCTGATGTCACTATCCTCTCACGCAAAAATTGGACCAAATTGGGCAGCCCAAGCCTGCAGCATACAACACAAAAGCCTCGTACAGCATGTGGTAATTATCTTCGTCTGTTAGGACAATTGGAATGTAAAGTTGCTTTCCGAGATTCGTCGTTTACTGGGGTATGCTATATAACGCCAGCTGATCTAAATTTACTTGGTTTAGATTGGTTCGACCAGCTAAAATTGGCTGATGTCCCGCTAAATACCATATGCAGCCTGGTATCACAACGACATGACCCAGAAGCGCATACGAAGAACCACGCAGAATGTTATCTGACAACCGCAGTTCGCGCATTACCGGTGTCTGCAACAGACATACAAAATGCTTCTAGAAACGACCCCATCATCAAGATGACGATGAAATATGTCACTAACGGTTGGCCGTCGAAAAAGTTTGAAGGTGACATGAAGCAACTGTATCAGCGGCGGGATTCACTATGCATCGTGAACGATTGTCTCATGTTTGGTGAAAGAGTAGTGGTTCCAGCATCCCTTCGTGCAAAAGTGCTGAGACAGTTCCATCTTGGTCATCCTGGGATTAAACGAATGAAGTCCATAGCCAGGAGTTATGCATACTGGCCTCACATGGATCAACATGTCACAGCGTTGGTTGAAAAATGCATCCGGTGTCAGCAGGCGGCAAAGATGAATGCCAAAATTCCGCCGGTTTCATGGCCCAAACCTGAGCATCCTTGGTCCAGGATACATGTCGACTTCGCTGGCCCAATAAATGGAACTATGTATTTAATTGTCGTCGACGCCTTTTCTAAATGGCCGGAAATCAGCCCCGTTATGCCGCCCACTACAACTAAGACTATACAGCTCCTAACTGAAATTTTCTCACGAAATGGCATACCAGATGTGATCGTATCCGACAATGGCTCTCAATTCACCTCTTCCCAATTCCAGAATTTCTGTCAACGGCTAGCTATTAAACACTTACGCTCGCCACCATACCACCCGCAATCGAATGGGCAGGCGGAAAGGTTTGTGGATACGTTTAAAAGAGCACTGCTCAAGTCAAAAGGGGAGGGGACGCCAGCCGAAACGTTACAAAATTTCTTGTACGTCTATCGGACAACACCAAATGAATTGTTACCGGAGCAAAAGTCCCCAGCTGAAATCCTGATGGGAAGAAGATTGAAAACGATCCACAGCCTGATGCATCCGACCAATGCACCCTCATCAGTAGAGACAAAGCAGCAAAGACAATCCGCTTACGAGGTGGGATGCCCTGTGTTTGCCCGCGACTACAGAACGAACCATGGTCCTTGGGTAGAAGCGAGAGTGGTCAGAGGGGTTGGTCGAGTTATGTACGAAGTAGAGGTAGGAGGTGATAAATGGTCACGTCATCGGAATCAGATACGCAGACGGCTAGCCCCAGATCACCCATCAAAGGCAGAAAGTCTTCCCCTTGACATCTTGCTTGATACCTTCAACCTACCGAGAGCCCCGCCACGAGAAGAAACTCAGCAGCAAGCTGTTCTTCGTTCCCGAAGGTATCCCCTCAGACAGCGGCGAACAATAGTCAAGATGCAAGTCAACCACAGGAGAAAACGCTATTAAAAAGGGGAGGAGTGTTGGGGATGTTAGATCCCCAAAATTCACTTGATAATGCCGTATTTCGGTTTTTCACGTTCGCCAGCAGGGGCTGATCAAATGACCTTGAGATTTCAATTCCCACCAGGAAAATCAATGGCTGTGATTGGCTACAGTGTATTTTAGTATGCTATTTTCTTAACTGTCTCAAGGACGTTGTTATGTTGTATAAATAAACGAGAGTTGTATGCTTGATTGTACTGGGATTGCTGGGTGTTTGTAGAATATACTTTCTACGCTTACCAAGACTTCTGTTTTACCGTTTGGATTCAAGGTAGCCTCCCCGGAAGCTGGTAAAAGTATCGTTCGCGTTTATCGACTAAGGTAAACTCGTAATAGCATCAAGCATACTACTAAGTGCCGAACATATCAGATTTAAAGCAGCAACTCAAGATTCGAGGACGAAGTCATACTGCTGACTGTAGAGGGGTGTGACAGCAATAAGGTGTTTCCCTCGAACAACCAGCAACTACAACGATGCTGCCTTCTCACAAGGAAGAAAGGGATTAGAAAAGGTCGACCATAAAAATGTCACACCTCACGGATTTCAGTCCGCAGAGGTAAGTTCTATTGAAAATATCGGAGTTAACACTAAAAAACTCAGTAAAAAGGCCGTGCGTGACCGGCCTCAAGCAGTTGCCCCTTTGGCTCAACGGTCACGCGCCCAGGTCTCTTGGATTAGCGCTAACATACCTTCCTCAGAAAACACCCTTCCATGGTGTGGGCAGCCGGTAACAGCATACAAGACCAAATTGGTCACAATCAAATCCTTCCTGCACCTCTTTATAACTTCCTTATCTGGCACAACTCACCTCGCGCCGCTGATGCAGAGGAATCGAGTACACGAAACCTTATTCCTGGTCTCCTGAAACGCAGCTCCAAACTACATGTTGAAGCTTTCATATTTCGAACCTTATACCAAATAGGACAAAAGGCTGCGTCCCCGGAACGCGCATGTAGGGTAAGAGTAGAGTGATTCGTTTGACTTCAGATTTTCAAGTTAAAGAACTAACTTGATATACGTTTCTTGTGTCTGGAAGCCCTATAGTTGCTTCCCATAGCTTTATGTTCTTTCAAATTTTAATCTTCTGGATTCCTTATTATCTTTCTTTTTCCTTTTTTTAGATTTATTTCACTAATTTACATTTTCCTGAATCATATCTTTGACCGTTGATCTTTTTTCATTACTAATAATGCTACCACTACCTGTACTACACAGTTGACAATTTCATCTCTCTGTGCTAACGTGGTACATATGTTTTAACTTCTATGTTGAGGCTATCTGACTGGCAGAAATCACATCACTCACAAAGTGTTTTTATTGATTGTTCGAACAAATGAAAGCAATTAACAAACGATTTGTATAAGTAGTATAACAGAACATAAAAGACTATTCAGTTAAACGAACTTATTAAAAATTTAGATTAACGAAACAGTATATGGCTGAACAACTAAGATTCAAATAAACGCAGTATTGTATATATACACATATGCTGTTGAACAAACAGATCACAGTAACAAACATACGAGTTTTGGACAGTAGGTGAACTAAACTAACTAACTGCTTAATTGGACTAATCATAACAAATGTATATCCCATGAAGCAATCATGAGGTGAACTCGTGAACAACTGTGTGACATATTAAGTTTTTCTACTAAACTAGGTGACATGAAGAAAATAATTAAAAGCGACAAGGAAAACATTTTATTCCATGTGATTCATTGTAGTTAGTGTCTATTCTAAGCGTTGTTTAACTTGTAAACAATATCGTACTCAAATTGATGTAGGAGTGAAAGCGTCTGTTCGAAAAATAAGCTAGATAACAACCGCTTTATGTAATACAACTTTTGATCATTCATTTAGGTTTAAAATGTTCGCAGTTAAACTATACTGAATCGTAACATATCAACTATCATTATCATAAATGATCAGTCAGTCAGTTAAAACGTAGAACTTCGTACGTGCGTACATCAGTTCAGGTTGTCATTCCACATCAACACAGAGACGCAACGGTCAGTTCAAATCCCATATTAGCACAGATAGTAGAAGAATTACTGGTAATGGAGAATATTAGTGACCGAAGATATTATTCAAGAAGTATAATTCAGTGAGATAACTTAAAAAAGAGAACGATAGAGGTGATGAGGAATTCGGAAGATTAGAATTTGAGAGAACACAAAGAGTGGATGCACCTGAGCCACTATAAACAATTTTGAGCCATGTTGTTCAACGTCTCTAACCATCGGTGACTGAATACAACAAGTTATTATCAAATACATGAAAATAAAAAGGATGAATTGTTATAAATCTTACTGGACTCTTTTCCCAATTACGAGATGATAATTTAGGACTGATACTAGGACTTCTTTTACGAGAGCTTTTAACATTGGTGAACATAATGAATTCAGTGGAATAGCGTCCTTGTTTTGCAGGTCTTCTTCTTAAGCGAATACTATCAGTTCGATAAGTATTTCTTTCGGAATCTTGGTTACTTCCAGTTGTTTTTTCGCCTAATTTATTATCAATGTTATTTGTCTTCAGATTTGCATCATTTGTAGAAGTAACAGAATCGGAAGAATCATCATCACTGAGTTCTGGAAGAACATTTCGAAGAAGAGGAGTGACAACCGCTGTTGAACGCGTCCGATGAGTAGTAGTATCAGGTTGGTTCATACTGTTTCCACTAGCTGTACTGCGTGTTGGTGTCACTGAAACGATAGGTCTTGGCTTGAGTTTCTCTTCAATGGAAACAATTGGAGACATAGACGTGTTTTGGCGTATAATAATCTTCAACGGATCGTTGGACGATACATGCGACTGTTCAAATCCCTAAGTTAAAAATTTAAAAAAAACAAAACAATTAATTGTTCGAAATGTTAACAGGCTCAACATATAATTATGTAGGGTATTGGTATTATAATTATTATTACGAACAATTGGTTGAATCGTAGTGCGATAAACTCACCATAAGAGTAAAATATTAAAAGAAATTTCAATATAATAACATTGTTTATTGGATAAGTTTGAGAATCCAAAGGACAGAGTAAATATTACACAATAATCACGAGAATTCGGCTAGTCGCCACTAATAATCAATATTAAGTTTTGGATTAAAATAAAAATCCTATGCAGTCCAAGATTAAAATCTGGACTTTTCAGTAACAGATGGTCTGACAATGTAGTAGAAAGATAACTCAACTTTAAGGGGATCTTCGAAGAAATTCAGTGTTGACGAATGGTAATCAGTCATTTGTAATCAATGTAGGAATTGACATTGAGGCAAATCGGTTAAGAAATGGTGATTTGGTTATAAATTGAAGCTTCCACTTACACATTGAGGTCAAGTGATTATGACAAACAGTCTAAGTGAAATCCCAATGTTGACAATTTATCAATGTGACAAAATATGGAATCCACGGGGGGAAAGAGGCAAAAGACATGATGATTAGTGGTTCATGACAGTTACAAGTAATAACTCAAGTCAGTTGAACTCATTTTCCTCGCTATTCAGAAAGAAAGAAAGAAATGTGGTTATGCACATACTCTATATCAAGAGCCTCAATTAGAGGAAGATAGCTATGATGAACCAAGTTCTTACCTTATCCAATCGAGTACAGAACATTTGATAATTGTCATTACAGAAGCATACACGAAGGACAGCTAACATACTCTTTCGAGGTGAAGACCTGTGTCAGGCAAGGTTGCTTACTCTCACCCTTTCTCTTTCGCCTGGTGATCGACTGGATTATAAAGACGTCAGCATCTGGAGGGAATCACGGTATCCAATGGACAGCTAGGACGCAGCTGGATGATTTGGACTTCGCAGATGAACTGGCTCTTCTATCGCACACGCAACAACAAATGCAAGAGAAGACGACCAGTGTAGCAGCAGTCTCTGCAGCAGCAGTAGGTCTCAACATACATAAAGGAAAAGTAAGATTCTGCGATGCAACACAACATGCACCAACCAAATCACTCTTGATGGAGATGCCTTGGAGGACGTGAACACTTTTACATATCTGGGCAGCATCATCGACAACCAAGGTGGATCCGATGCAGATGTAAAGGCACGGATTGGCAAAGCAGGGGGTTGCATTTCTACAGTTGAAAAATATCTGCAACTCCAAACAATTTTCAAACAAAACCGAAATCAGCATTTTCAATGCAAATGTGAAGACAGATCTACTGTATGGAGCGGAAACTTGGAGAACTACCAAAGCCATCATCCAGAAGATACAAGTGTTTATTAACAGCTGTCTACGCAAAATACTTCGTATTCGTTGGCCAGACACCATCAGCAACAACGAACTGTGGGAGAGAACAAACCAGATTCCAGTGGAGGAGGAAATCAGGAAGAAGCGGTGGAATTGGATAGGACACACTCTACGAAAAGCACCTAACTGCGTTACAATACAACCCCTCACATGGAACCCTCAAGGCAAAAGGAAAAGAGGAAGGCCAAAGAATACATTACGCCGAGAAATAGAGAAAGATATGAGAGGAATGAACAAACATTGGACAGAACTGGAGAGGGAAGCCCATGACAGAGTTGGTTGGAGAAAACTGGTGGGCGGCCTATGCTCCATTGGGGGTAACAGGCGTAAGTAAGTAAGCAAGTAAGTAAGTAATTACAGAAGCGTACAATATATAATGATAAAACCAATGCTACTTGTGAAATATTGTGAGAGAAAAAACGAATACATGGAATGAATAAAAAGAATATTGAAACTATTGAAAATACCAATACTTACAACATGATGTGCTTCTAATGTAGCAGTTGATCCAGTTGTAGATGGAGACGATGGAGAAACCGAATCACGAGACATCGAAACCGTGGATTGTTTACGAATACGCAGTCGAAGAGCTGAAACACGTCGAGAGTCTTCTTCTACAGGAACAGAATCGTCTGATTCTACCGTGACATCCATTGATTGATTGGATGATTTCACAAGATTATTAGTTGTAGTTGGCGATTTTTTGACACATTTTCTGGAATAAAAGAACAATACACTTGACAATAGTAAAACTGATAGAATTATTATTTTTAAATATGCAAAAAAAAATAGATAGAAATTCCTTACACCAAACTACTTCGTTTATTCTTTTGTGCACTACGAGGATGATGGTTATTCACTGAACAGCTGTTTCTTTGAGGTTCTGTATGTAGTCGTTTAGCTGATCTTCCATGTTCCACTAAAATTGAACGTTGAAAGAAAAAAAAAGCAAAATTGGAAGTTTTACATAAAGTAAAATATTTTTTTCATCAACAACAAGACAAATCGTTGAAATTTGTAAAATATTATGTGCAAAATCAAACGATTCCTTTCTAAATGACAAAACATAACCACAATTTATATCAATCAATAAGCTGGTGATTGAATACTAAAAGAATTTTTGTCGAGAAATTAAAGCCTCTGAGAAGTACTTTTTATCTTCCTTTCGCCTGTTACCCCGAACGGAGCATAGGCCGCCGACCAGTTTTCTCCAACCAACTCTGCCCTGGGCTTCCCTTACCAGTTCTGTCCAATTCTTTTTCATTTTTCTCATGTCTTTCTCCGCCTGTAGACCCTTCGGGGCTACTGCTGGTTCTATGCTCCCATAAAGGAGAAGGGTCGGGCATGGGGGTTGACGACTCCATCCCATCAAAAAAAGACTAACTCGCTACAAAAACACTAACCAGAACAAATAATTCAAATCATTTTAACTCTGAGAAGTAAATCAAGTGAAATTTGTTGCTGGATTTCTGTCAACATTAATTATGTTAGGAATTAATGAAAGACAATGGCAACGCCATAAGAACATATTTACTGTGAAATGGTGGAGAAAACTTGTAGCTCAGGTGGATGATTGTGGTGGTGTTTCGTTCTCTGAGCTGCTCAGAGAATTTCGACAAACATGAATCTGCATCAAATCTGTGTCAATGATCATAACAATAATAGTAATAATCGCGTTATTTAATACTATCAATATGAACATTGACCCAATATATCTATAAATCAATCAATTAGTCACGTTGTCAAAATTCCCCAAAACAAGACAATCCTAAAAGGATGGAGAGATAAAGAAAAAAACAAAGCTTGGCAAGACAACCCAGCCATAAAAACCATAGCCATCAAATTCGATTGGTATTTTGCTTTCAGGATAATTGGTAATCCAACTTCAGATGACTTCCGTACAAACAGTGTCATAGAAGGCGACAAAGAAAGCATAGTAATATAAACATTCAGCTGAAAGAGCAAAACTTCAGAATGCAACACAGTTAGTTATTCACGAGGTGATCATTGTAGTATGACGAGTGTAAACAAAATCTGAAGATACAATAAGGAGTTTGTGTGAATTGGTGGTAGATTTGAAAGAAAAACTAGGTCTGAGAGAGGAAGTCATATTTCTCAAAGAACAAGGCAACGAACAGGAATAAATATTGACAAGGGTAGAAAAAAAGTTGGACCTTATATTAGCGAATGGACTTGTCTACCACAATGACTAGACCAAGATAAATTGCCTGAAACAGGATCGACTGGATAGTATTTTGAAACGAAAGACAGTACAGTTGAAATTTGAGCGTGAAATTATACTGTAGCACTGATAAATATCGATAGGCAGCATTCGGAGCAACGCCGCTATTCCAAACATGGAAGAACTAAAGACTTAAAATTTATACATGGCGTATTGTCTTTTCTGCGGTGCCGGTGATAAGATTTCAAAATAATAGGACAAAATAACTACTCACGGATCAGTCATTGTGTTAATGAAAAGTCTCTCTATCAGACCGACAAGCTCATCTATACTGTTTAAATTTACCTCCCAGGTTTCTCAATAAGATGTTCCTCAGTAATGTGGCAGTAAGAAACTGTCAATCAATTCTATTCTTCCATAAACACTTGAGTTTGCCAAGAATTTTCCATATTTGACAAACTCTGTGACATTCTTCATACCATTGTTTTTTTACCTGGCTTTGTCTCATACGAATTTGGAGTGAACAATGAAATTTTATACATGTTCTACAGAGCCACGCTCCAAACTGTGTTGGAACCTCTAGTATTTGAAGCCTGTGCTCCATTAGACAACAGCTCTTAAAGCTCAACTTGAAGACAAAATTTCCAAATGCGATAACACTAATTGGCACAAACCGCTTTGGTGGTGATGATCGAAGAAACTGCTGCATGAACACAAAAGGCTAATTCGACTTTCGGCAAACTGTATCATCTGCGGAGTACCCGACCGTAGCTGCTACCTTGACGTGATGGTCGGGCTTGCCTATCGTGATGACCCAACCGAGCTATACTGGCTGGAACATATGTTCCTGCAGGTCCTACCATGCCAGGCAGGTCGATTGGAGAACGATGAGACTAAAAGCAGCTACCCAGGGTCTGAGCTTTGTTTTGTAGTGTAGGAGTAGGTTGGAAGAAAGTTAGGGGCGGCCAGACCAAAACATGGCAGAAATCCATGAAGTCATTGACTAGTGGACTGAGCCATGTCGGTAATTGTCGACTACCTGGTTGGGGTCCGCGAGATGATAATAATCGATGGTTAGAGACCTTGAATGACATGGCTCAAAATCGTTCGCAATGGCGACGGTGCATTTATTCTTTGTGTTCTCTCAAATCCTAATCTTCTGGATTCTTCAACACCTCTAGTTTCGACTCTCTAAACTTTTCTCACTGAATCATACTTCTTGAATAGTATCTTCTAACCCTAACCCCTCCGATTACTTCTAATTCCCTTACTACCTCTACTACTATTGAATTTGAATTGACAATTATATCTCTGTGCTGATGTGGTATAGCAACATGAACTGATGTACTTACGTACCAAGTTCTACGTTGCATCTGACTGACTGACTGCGGAGTGGGTGAGGTGACTAGACCACTGTTAATGAGTCTGGCGTAACATATCGCTTTTCATTCCCTTGCACTTACAAAACAAAGAAATTTGTGAGCTGCTAGCATTTGATCTTGTGTCCGAAGTACTGTTGAGATTCAGTGTGGGGTTATAGGTAAAATAGGTAAACCTAGTGAAAACATTAGAAACACCTATCCAGTCAGATATGTTACCTTTGTTTAGTCATTGCATTCTTCATAGTTTAATGGTAGGTAAAATAAGGGTATGTTAGCGAAAACTTAAATGTAGGCAGGTTAAAACATGGTATAAATTCATGAAGTGATGGGTTGGTTGGTATGAGCGATGTAGAGAGATGCGGACATCGTCGGAGACTTGGAATCGATTATAGTAATCCAGTTATAATCATCAAATGAATTTGGAGAATAATGTCATTTCATACTTTTCATTTTTCGGTCTAATACATTTCTTTTGAAATATATTTCTTATGCTTAGTTTTTAACTGCAGCTCATATTTTTTCTCTTTTATTTGTCTTATTTATTCTTTTTACCGAAATTAAATTTTGAGTCAAGTCCTACCTAATGCTTAATTATATATAATCTGTTACCTCATAAACAAAGTATGAAAGTAGTAAGATAAAAATGGAAGTTAAGACAAATATTAGAACTTACACTCAGCTGAGGTTGACTTTGACCGTTTTTGACTTTGTATTTCGACTGTAGAAGAAGCCGCGGTAGAATTGTGACTAGTATCTTCACACCCACGTTTGAACGAATAAAACTGAGCCAAAAATTTTTCAGCTTCTGGATCCTAAGAATGTTTAGTGATGAATGAATTGATTATAGAGTTATAAAGGCTATACAAACAAATTGGATTTTCAGCATAAATAACTAGGATAACGAATTTTTGTGAACATGAGACGAACGGATACATCTGTTTGTCAGTAATAAACCTAAATTTCACACACTATCTTCGACTACAGATCTTTATTTTTACTACGGATAACTCAAATTGCTTGCTTTGATCTCAAGCAAAGTCGATATGAAACATACATTTACCAGATTTCGTTAAAATAAGAACTATCTTAGGAAACTGGACGAACTTTATATCTTTGCTTACAATCACTTCTGAAATGTTTATTTTACGTAGCCAAGAAACAGGGAAACTTGAATGAATGGAAGTTTAAGAGATTTTAAGTAAATACCTTCTTAGCAGAGTAGAATTTAGGATGTCAGAAAGCGCTGATAATTCTAGAAAATGTTAGTCACTAATCTTAAAAACCACTTCACCAACGATTCGTACGTTTACTGGTAATTTCTCCCAAACTAAATCAAACCACGCCACACTGAATGGAACACCGAAACCACGACTTATTCAGTCAGTCAGTGACAACATAGAACTTCTTACTTAAGTATATAAGCAAAGTTTGGCATAAAACATTAGCACTGAGACGCAACATTCAATCCAATCACATAGTGGAAGAGATAGTAGAAGTATTAGCGGTAATCAAAAAGATTAGGGTTCGAAGATATTACTCAATAAGTATGATCCAGTGAAGGAAAAAGGTGATTAGGAATTAAGATTAGAATTTGAGAGAACAAAAGGAATGGATTCACCTGCGCCGTTGCAAACGAATTTCAGTCACGTCGTTCTAGGTCTCTAACCATCGCTTACTACCTTCTCGCGGACACTAACCAGGTAGTCTACACCTGCCAACACGGCTTAGTCCATTTGTTAGTGATTTGATGGATTTGTGAAATGTTTCGGTCTGGCCGCCCCTAGCTTTCTTCCAACCTACTACTATATATCGAGGCAGCTCAGAGAACCAAACACCACGACCACAATCATCCACCTGGGCTACAAATCTTCTCCACCATCTCAAAGACGTAAATTTGCAAAAGCCAATCGAGGTTTCTGTATCTGTGTTGAGATTTCGTCACACACCAGACTATCAGCACTGATGAGACTCCCGAGATAAGTGAAGTGGTGAACATGCTCAACTACTCCACCCATTGTCACTGGTTCAGGGGCCGAAGCAAGCCAATCCTGAAGCAGCATTTTGCATTTCGACTGGGAGAATCACATCACGAACATTCTTGCATTGTTGCTTAAGGCGGTCAGAAGACTGCATTTTGTCAACGTACTCACCAAGTAGAACTGTCATCGGCATATTATAGGTCTACCTCGGAAAAGTCAGACGTGTTACGCATGCCCAACCACTGACTGCCTCGACGAGCTATGTTTGGTGGTGTAGGAGTAGGTTAGAAGGAAGCTAGGTGCGACCTAACCAAAACATGGCAGAAATCCACTGAAAAGTGGATAGAGTCATGTTGGTAAATGTAGGATACTTGGTTGTGGTCCGCGAGATGGAAGTCACCAATGATTAGAGACCTTGAAAGACATGGATCAAAATCGTTCGCCATGGCGCAGTTGCACCGACTCTTTGTGTTCTCTCAAACTGTAATCTTCTGGATTCGTCAGCACCACTACCTTTGTCTTTCTAACCTTATCTCACTGAATTATGCTTCCTGAATAATATCTTTGAACCCTAATCTTCTCTATTACTGCTAATACTTCTTCTATCGCTACCACTATTGGATTTGAACTGACAATTGCGTCTGTATTCTGTGGTATGGCAACATGAACTGATGTACTTACGTACGAAGTTCTACGTTGTAACTAGGTGATTGATAGAATTAAATAACGCGATTATTACCGTTATTGTTATGGTGATTGATGCAGATTATATGCTTGTCATGTTTGTCAAAATTCTCTGAAGATTTTTCATTCCCAAATTTCGATCCTTACCTAGTTGGATTCGTACGTAGATTGATATAAGTGACGTATCATTTTGTTTTAATGCGCCTGCCATATATGTGCATTAGCATAAGTTATTATACCACACTATTTTCTTAGGGCTCTTCATTGTGAACTATGTACGAAAAAGCAATTCGGGTTGATTAGAAAGGGAGGTGTAGACTACCAGTTTGGAGTCCGTGAGGCAAGTTATATGTTGTTACTGACTGACTGACTGAATCAGTTTTGAGGACAGTTCGTCGAAAGCTCTAACTGGACCTGTAGTGTTCGAGTAGAGAGCTTACATAAGGTTAATGTACTTCTCTGGTACACATTTTAATGACAAACACTGTCACACAACCTCACGATCTGCAAAGCCGCATGCTGCTTTAGGTTTCAGGAATACAAATATTGTCTGACGTGTGAATGTGAGTCTGTATTCTGGGACCTGACGTAAAGTGAATATGTGGTCTATATATCCACATCCAGGTCTGAAACCTGCCTGGTTTTCTCGAGTCTGCTCTTCACGAGCTCTAGTTAGGCGTCCAAGTATTATCAAGGCTAACATTTTAGACACTATATTAATCACACAGATTCCCGTGATCATCATCACATGATGAATTTTGTCCTTTCTTATAAACTTGGATAATTAGTGATTAAGTCCAGTCAGATGGAATTACATCCAGTTCACAAACTCTACCTAAGATATCTGTTAATCTTATTGCTATAACTGGACCACCATCCTCATCAATGGTATGCAAAATTATCCGCTAGATAGTTCTGTAAGACATTCGAAGCCTTTACCTACTTGATTTTTCCCAGTAAATATGCTCTCGTACGCTATGGAGCGTTCAAGTCTATTTCGGAGGATTTTGATAAGTGCAGGATGTCCAACAACTAGGTTACATACGATACGTTACACACAGAATCATTAAAAATTTACAGAGCATAACTCATTGCGAGTTAAACTCTACAGCTTAAAACTGAGAGTAATGGCTAGACAGTAAATTGTGTTATGTTGGAGATAGAAATCCAAACTTGAATATTTTGGTGGATACAGGTGTTGTCTTTAATAAAATTAATCAGAACAAAACTGATGACTCGAAAAATGCCCCTCGCGGGTTAGATCTCTCAGTCGAATGACTAAATAAAATAACGACCTTAGGAGTCCAGTGAGGAGAGTTATGGAGTAGCTAATGATAACTTCACATGATTAACACTTGTATTACGATGACACGTTTACGGTGATTACAAGAGTTTGCCTGCAGGGCTGAGATTATATAAGCACGACTAAAATCCTTACTGATCGGGAAGGAAGACCATGTGTATGACGACCTTACTTGGGGAATTTATGCTTTGAGTAATTTTTATGGGTATTGGTATAACACTACTTATTGTGGGCAATTTTGGTCATGTACTCACTCAGACAAGTGTATCTTTATACTCTAGAGCTCAAAAAGAATTGCTCATGTACGATGAACTTGATAGCTAAGCACTGACATATTTTTTAGCGTGCACACAAATTGGCGTTACGATAGTGCGCATAAAAGACGTTTCTTAAAACCTTTTCCTACAATCATTAAAGACGTTTTACTTGTTAATCGCTAGTACTCATACCAGCAATCTTTTAAGTGAGCTTATGAATATATCTGTAACTTATGTTGATTTTCATCCTATAGTTGAAGCGATTTTAGCAACGTAAAATAGCTGATGTATACAAAATAAAAGCATGTTGTGAACGTTGATAACAGCTGAAAGAATATTCGACATTAGAATTTCCACAGACATGTAGGCTACTAGAACCGAAAGATATATGCAAAGATAAAATTTTTAATTAGGGATAGAAAGATCAATCGGTATTATCAGCTGATCAGCTTACCTTCTTATAAAGCAGAACATCTGGATTTTCCTCTATTTCTCGTAATCCAGCCTGGAAAACGGCTTTATTGCGAGGGACGCCATACTTATGTTTAAACTTTTCGTAGGGAAATATGTCTCTTGGGGCTAGAAAATAACTGAAAATAGCTGTCAAAAAATACAATATATGCAACAAACACTTCGTGGGTGCCATAGAAGAATATGGGATATTTTCCCTTCGGAATTGGAACATCTTCCGGAAGGAGGTTAATCTAATACATTAGAAACAACAACTCCCTCTTACTCGTGATGGCCAGTGGGGATGACCCTTAACTTTCGCGAATATCTTGTCACCAGGTGAATAAGCCATCAACATAGACACTAAGAGCCCGCCGGAATCATATAACCCGCCCTCAGGAACGACTTTAACAAAGTTGGACTCAAGCTATCAGACAGAATTCTTATTATCCTCGCAGTAGGTGCAGCTGAGTATACATCATAACTTCCTAAAAATTTCTGTTAGTCTTTTTTACAGAGTCTACAGAGAGAATTTCCAGTCATTTTACAGTCTTCTGTTTCAAGGGCTGGAAGTCAATCAACCATTTTTAATTTTTGCAATTTAAAGTCTTCTAAAGACCCGAAATCTTTTTGAATGTAACAAGAGAAGCTGTTAATACTGGGTGGTCTGGAGCAGAATTCCATAAGGTCACCACTCGATGCGAAGGACGGAACTCTATAGGTTAGCGATTAGACCTCAGCTTTTGAATATTTTTAGATTATCTTCCCGGATTATCAGTCCTGAATGGAAGAAATGGTAAGCCGTATGATTACAGAAATCATCAGTCAGTATGCGGTGTACTGTCAAGTAGCCTCGTTATCTACTTAAGGATAATGGAAATAGGTTGATGCGTCTGTCTACTTTAATAAAATAGGTCAGTGAGAAATTCCACTAGATTTTTCCCGTGCCGAGGAACTTGTTCTGGTATAGTTGCTTCATGCTTGAAACAAATACTTGCCCCTGGGATCCCATGTTCCAGTTGCGGACTCACAAATTTCAGGTATAGTACCCTCATCAAATTGTCATTCAAGTAATGAAGTCACTAACTTACAGCCTGTAGCGGTCAATAAGTCTTCTCCAACGCTGATTCCGCCTTGGTTAGCTCTACTGGACACGTTCTGGCTCGAGACACTTGGTCACGCATCTGCATCAGATCCCCTCGCATCAACTGGAAGGTTTAGTTAATTCACCTCTTATCATCCAAATCATCCTTCAAATATAAAATCGATCTTCTTCACATCTGGCTCCTGGTCTAACTTGGCCTTTCGGTATTCTTAGTCTGAAAAATTGTCATAGAAAAAACAGATTAAGATTCCGGGTATGTATGATACATGTATGGCAACCTGAGCTGGTGTACGTGCTTACGAAAATCAACATTTTAACTGACTGGCTCATTCTGTACCGAAACACTTTCTCAGGATTTTCGATGTTACCTGAGGCTAACTTTCGAAATTCTAAAATTTCTCAAGTATTCGTGCAACTAAAAGCTTACTGTAAGAGTGAATACGAATACTTCCTGATAGTTATAGTCTAACGTTCTTAAAGACGTTTTTGACGGTGGGTTTAATGATTTTGACAGGCTCTTGTTGCCTATATTGGTGGTATATTCTCCTGGTGACAAGATATTCGCTAAAGTTTTGGGTCATATACACTAGCCTTCACGAGTAAGATGGAGTTGTTGTTATAAAAGTGTTGGATTCACTTTATTCGGAACTTCTTGACAATTGAGGCAAAGCTTACTCTCGTCGAAATGTGTATAAAACCCTCCCTTGAATACTGCTTGTTTATCTTTTCAAACATGAACATAGAGAAGATACAGACAGATGTCCAAAGAAGCCTCAAGGGGATATTGCTAGGATGTTAATATTCTCCCAAACACACAGAACTCTACAAGCATGCTTCACTAGAACCCTTATTGCACCATAAGTTTAAAAACAACCTAACACTTTTCAGAAAAATAATATCTGGCCTCTCATTGGGATGATATTTAAAATGCCAATACCAGGCTACCTCTGATTCTCGTGTAACCCAGAGGTAATATTCCTGATTCTGTCTTCGTAAAGCTTATTCTCTAACCCTCCCACATATATAGTTGATCGTCTCTACACTCGATCCAGGAGATTTGTGTCTCTTTTTAGGATATTTATGGGTCTACATTGTGAACATCAAGGTGTCGCCATATGCACGTCTTACATAGAGTTAGGAACATTTGTGGTTGAAGAGTTGCGTTAGGCTTGGTCGAGTCCCCGATGTGGTTTAAGTGGCCTTTAGGCTTTCTGTGGTTATTAGACCGACATCACGTTTGGCAAGATATTCATGAACGAACTCCCAGTGAGGATGCAGGTTGTTTGTTTCGCAAGTGGCAGGATATTCATGAAGTGAAACTTTGCCCGGGTAAGTTTTAAATTGTTGTCCACTTCTCATTCTTCTGATGTCGCAAGGTACTTTTGAAGCTCAAATAAATCCTCTTCCTTTCTTATAGACCTTCATATTTCTCCTTATCTGAACAGAGGAATATCAATGAGCTTATTTTATCTAACTATTCATTATTAACTATTCGGAACAGGAGTGGATCTAAGATGGTCCCCTGTGAAACTCTTGATATGGGCTAGATCAAGACAACTTAGAGGACAAAGCTGGTGAAAATAACAGCCAAGTACGAATATAGATCTTAACACTGATTCATCAACTCCTGAAACTTTTACGAGAAGACGTGATGTTAACTACTTCCATTATCTCGTTCAAGAGAAAACCAGACATTCTCAGAATCTCACTCGAAATAAGCTTACAAGGACAACAGGCTTTCTGGCTTCAACAAATAGCTTTGAATCTAATCTAACGAGAAAAGACTTGATAAATACGTATCTATATATTGATAACCATCTCAGTGTTCAAAGAGCTCCTCCTGACGCATGATTCGAAACTTCCTAGTTGTCGTTAATGTCACTACATCAGATCAAACACATATTCCATCTAAATTATTAACTCTGATTCCTCTTCTTTGCTTCCGCTTCTGTCCTCGCACAAAATCTTCACTACCCATTGATAAACTTATTTAATTATTTACATAGTTATGAAATTTTCCTCTTCTTATAGGTGCAAGAATTTTCTCTTTATTAGTGTCCAGATTGAAACTTACTGATCTTCGGCATGGTAATGTGGTAGCTGCTAGCATCCTTATTCTCGACTCACTCACTGACTCAAATCACGGAACATGCGAATTCATAAATTTATGCCAACTGAATGGAACGTGTTAGGCCTAGTTTTTAGACTACCATTCACCAAACAAAACAAAACACCTGGAACCGGGCTGAAAAAACAAGAATGGAGGGCGAAAAATTAAATTGATTAATATTAGCTGCTGGATACGAATTTCGGTATTAGAAAAGAATACATAGAGGAACCACGACTACGTGACCGCGCCAAATCGTTACAGTCAGCTGTTCCGTGTTCACCGTTTCCGATCTCCAAAAGTTGTATGTTTTCTAAAATATAATGTGTATAGGAACCCATACAACCACACATCCACCAGAAACAACAAAACGTAAAGCTCGATTGACTTGCGAGTATGATACATTTGACAGAAGTTATCGGCACAAAACATACTGAACCTGACCTTTATTTACATAAACAAATATTAGACTTTCTGACGGAATATTTTTTGAACTAGTAGATAACTTATTATACTCCAAGTAAATTGAAAGGATTTTTGTTGCGAAGTTTTGATGATCCAAGTTGGAATCCTCAAGGCAAACAGAGGAGAGGTAAAGTGAAGGACACAGTGTACAGTGATCAGAGGCCAGCATCAGAACAAACAACACTGACGAGCAGTTTGGAAGGATAGCCCCGAATAGAGTACAGGTTTTCTGATAGGGCACCCATACTACTTCACGAGAGGTGACAGGTGTGATTAAGAGATTAAGTGCGACTACAAAAAACACAAATTCAGTTCTTACTGAAATCACTTTATATCATGATTTTCGTATATTTTAAACCAATGGATTTATAGCGAGATAAAGAACTACTGTTCTTCGCGAGATTACCATGTTTAATCCCAATAGATCCAGACGTTAGAAAGAAGACAGTATCTGGAAGAAGAGGTATATTTGTCCGTAGCCACGTGATATCGAAGTAATATCAAGACCGGGATAAAGAAGCCGCTAACAACTACCAAATAGAGAAGCGGGAAAGGAATGACACGCTTGGAGCGCGAGTTATAACCTTTTGTACAGTTAAACAAAAGGAGTACAATAAAAAAATTATTGTTAGTATTAAGCACAATAATAAATGTTTCCATTTCAACAACTGTTACCTTCGTAAAAGTATACCACTACAGATTCATAGCCACTAAAATTTTAATTCTATATATTACGACTGGACATCCCCTAAAATACTTAATTCAACTCACTCCCGACACTAAACTCAGGGGAAATACTTCGAAACTACACGCATAACACAGCAGAATGCGCTGTATGAGTGGTCAAATTCTACAATTTACAACCGGATGAGGTGGTCGAAGCTACTTCCCTGGATTGATAATAAGTTTATATGGGTCATTACCAAGGTTTGACTTGAACATTTTAAATACATGGGTACATTTTTCGTGATAAATAAGAGATTCTCTTAAGAAGAGACTGACACTGAGTCAGGGGTTAGGGTTAGTTCAGCACAGTGTCTCACTGCAAGTCGCTTATGTCTCTCTTTGATTCTTTTAACTTTCCCTAGGTTCCCAACAATTCGTAAACAACCATTCGAAATAACAAACATCGAGAAGCTTTAACCTGGAAACTATTCTATGGATTATGAACATACATTACGTTTAATTGATTCACTACCTCAAAACATTATACCGCATTCTGTTTCTAATCAGTAATTCAACGTATCTTATCATCTCAACCAAACGAAAAATGATCCATCCGGTCAAATATATTTAAAGCTCAACAAAAACCTAAAAACGCTTCATGAAAATGTGGAACACATTCCGAATAAACGTGCAGAAAATTCGCAGTCTTGACATAAGAAGAACGTAATACAAATTGAATTAGAACTACTAGTAAATATTCCGGAAAGATTGTTTCATTCAAATGATTACACAATTGAGTTTCACACAAGTTATTTAGAATAAAAATAGATTACATTATCTGCAGTGAAACTAGTTGAATTGTGTTTAGAAACAACGACATTTGCGCGCTAACAAAATAAACCTTCAACTATAGATGTTCACATTGTATGACGAACAGTAAGCGAACCAAGAATCTAACAGTTAACACAAAAGAAATCAACTCTTCTTGACTATCATACTTCATCTTCTACCGACGCTTCGCATAAATTTAACTAGATAAAAACTGCCTACACTGTCCCGCCAATGTATTGATTTCCTTTATAGGACTGATTAACAATAATAATCATTATCACAAATAATAATAAGACAAAACGATCCTTATTCAAAATAAGTTTATTTATTGTACATAAAAATAATGGTGTGTTAAAGTTTCTGATTCGTTCACCTCATCCTGGATGAAATCAGCTAGTTAACCAGATTTGAAGAGAAGTACTGCATAAGAATCCAAATAGAAGTAGATGAAAGAATTGACTTCATGTGTGACATAACTGAAATAGAAGAAAACAAGAAATTGTATGTTTCCGATGTTTTCCAAATCAACTTCATGTTCCTATCGATCTCGTTATTGACTTGTGTATAGGAGCTAATGCATGACCAATTCACAATAAATCCTCGCGATTCATTGCCTTCCATTTCAACAAATGATTAGGCAGTTTGCCCGATCAAATGATCAGATTAAACTACCACATCATTCAAAAAATTTTAAATAGAATCACTCAAAGCTTCAAAGTAAATAAAAATCATAAGAATAATAATAAAAGTTATTAAAATGATTTACTATACATACATACCTTCCAAAGTTTCTACCAACAATACAATGCCATGTAGGACCATAAGCTTTATCAAATTCCTTCTTAATAAAACTTGCCATATCCTTTTCAATTTGATGTTTCTTCATAGCCATATCAGCTGAATCAACAGCGAATTGTTGAACATCTGGTGGCATATCAGTACTTTTCACTACAGCTTTCTTCTCTTCCATGATGATTGATAGTGTATAGAGGAGAATAGAAAATTCAAAGAGTACTACTCTTTAACAAACTGAATAAAGATTGAAAAATTCTTTTTCTTATTTATATCATAACTAATTTAGATGAGAGACGATGACCTTAAAGTTTCACTGGACGTTCGTTTTTAGTAACATTTCTTCAAAAATTTCTATGTGAAATTATTGTGGTTTCATTAATAGATAGAAAATTATTATGCACAGAGAATGAACAGTAAAGATTGGTTGATCACAGAACAGTGAAATTTTAACACGATGGATTCATTAAATCTAATAAAAATCAATAATGAAGATAATGATAATAATAATAATAATAATAATAATAATTATTATTATTATTATAGTCATAGTAATTAAAATAATAATGAAAGATACATTCTGGAAATAATAACTACAGTATTGGTATAGTAGCATTCCGTTTACTAAAAATCATTTCAATTAATCAATGCGTGAAATACACAATCTCTAACACGAAATGCACATAATTATTGATTTTGTAGAAGGAGATGGTTGTTAAGAAATATCATCCATTTCACGGCTGTCTCATTACTACAATGATGAAGATGATAGCGTAACTCTGGAACTTACTTACTTACTTACTTTCGCCTGTTTCCCCCAATGGAGCATAGGCCGCTCACCAGTTTTCTCCAACCAACTCTGTCCTGGGCTTCCCTCTCCAGTTCTGTCCAATGTTTGTTCATTCCTCTCATATCTTTCTCTATTTCTCGGCGTAGTGTGTTCCTTGGCCTTCCTCTTTTCCTTTTGCCCTGAGGGTTCCATGTGAGGGCTTGTCTAGTGACGCAGTTGGGTGCTTTTCGTAGTGTATGTCCTATCCATTTCCACCGCTTCTTCCTGATTTCCTCCTCCATTGGAATCTGACTTGTTCTCTCCCACAGTTCGTTGTTGCTGATGGTGTCTGGCCAACGAATACGAAGTATTTTGCGTAGACAACTGTTAATAAACACTTGTATCTTCTGGATGATGGCTTTGGTAGTTCTCCATGTTTCCGCTCCATACAGTAGAACTGTCTTCACATTTGTATTGAAAATCCTTATTTTGGTGTTGATTGATATCTGTTTGGAGTTCCAGATATTTTTCAACTGTAGAAATGCAGCCCTCGCTTTGCCAATCCGCGCCCTCACATCTGCATCCGATCCACCTTTCTCGTCGATGATGCTGCCAAGATATGTGAAGGTGTTAACGTCCTCCAAGGTATCTCCATCAAGAGTGATTTGGTTGGTGCATGTTGTGTTGCATCGGAGAATTTTGCTTTTTCCTTTATGTATGTTGAGACCTACTGCTGCTGCAGAGGCTGCTGCTACACTGGTCGTCTTCTCTTGCATTTGTTGTTGGGTGTGCGATAGAAGAGCCAGATCATCTGCGAAGTCCAGATCGTCCAGCTGCGTCCTAACTGTCCAGTTGATACCGTGCTTCCCTCCAGATGTTGACGTCTTCATAATCCAGTCGATGACCAGGAGAAAGAGAAAGGGTGAGAGTAAGCAACCTTGCCTCACACCGGTCTTCACCTCGAAAGAGTCTGTTAGCTGTCCTTCGTGTACGATTTTGCAGTTGAATCCATCATAAGAATTCCGTATGATGTTGACTATTTTCTCAGGTACACCGTAGTGTCGAAGAAGCCTCCACAGTGTTTTCCTATCCACGCTATCAAATGCTTTCTCGTAGTCGATGAAGTTGATGTAGAGTGGTGAGTTCCATTCAATTGATTGTTCCACAATGATCCGTAATGTAGCAATTTGGTCAGTACACGATCGATCCTTACGAAATCCGGCCTGTTGATCTCGAAGTTGGGCGTCTACGAAGTCCTTCATTCTGTTTAACAATACTCTGTTGAAGACTTTGCCTGGTATTGAAAGAAGAGTGATGCCTCTGTAGTTCTCACACTTGCTCAGATCGCCTTTCTTTGGTATTTTGATCAGGTATCCTTCTTTCCAATCTGATGGTACTTGTTCCTCATCCCAAATCTTCTTGAAGAGAATGTGAAATATTTTTGCAGTTGCTTCCACATTTGCTTTCATTGCCTCTGCTGGAATGTTGTCTGGTCCTGCTGCTTTGCCGCTCTTGATTTGTCTGATGGCTATACTGATCTCCTCAATCGTAGGTGCGCCAATATTAATTGGGAGGTCCGTGGATGCTGCTTCGATGTTGGGTGGGTTCAGTGGAGCTGGTCGATTCAAAAGTTCCTTAAAGTGCTCCACCCACCTATTTCGCTGTTCGTCAGTGTTGCTGATTATTTTCCCTTCCTTGCTTTTCACTGGTCGTTCTGGTTTACGATAGTTTCCGGCGAGCTTCTTTGTAGTTTCGTACAATTGTCTCATGTTTCCTTCTCTTGCAGCCTTTTCCGCCGTCATTGCTAGATAATCCACATATTTTCGTTTGTCGGCTCTGATGCTCTTCTTCACTTCCCTGTTTGCTTCTGTGTATGCAGCTTGTGCGGTAACTTTCTCCGCTCTTGTTCGGCTGACATTGATTGCTGCTTTCTTGTTCCTCCTTTCTTCAATTTTTGCGAGAGTATCAACAGAGATCCATTCCTTATGATGGTGCTTCTTGCGACCAAGGACCTCCTGACATGTTGAAGTGATTGCCTCCTTAATCCCTTTCCAATTGTTCTCCAATGTTGCTTCCTCTCCATTGAGTAGATCCTGAAAGGCCTGGAACCTATTGGTGAGGGCTATCTTGAATTCGTTGAGTTTTACAGTATCCCGAAGAAAGGCTGTATTAAACTTGTGTGATGTTGTCTGCCCCGCTGTCCAGTGCTTCTTTAGCTTCAATCTCATTTTGGCGATCAGCAAGTGGTGATCTGAAGCTATATCAGCTCCTCTCTTGGTTCTCACATCCTCCATGGTCCTTCTGAACTTTTTGTTGATACAGATATGGTCAATTTGGTTTTGAGTAGTGTGGTCCGGTGAAATCCATGTGGCTTTGTGAATGCGTTTGTGCGGGAATATTGTGCCACCGATGACCAGTTTGTTGAAGGCACATAGGTTTGCAAATCTCTCACCGTTTTCGTTCCTTTCTCCCAGTCCATGTCGTCCCATGATGTCTTCATATCCAGTGTTGTCCATTCCAACCTTGGCATTCAGGTCTCCCATAAGAATCGTCAAATCCTTTGGTGAACATTTATCGACGACTGACTGCAGCCTTTCGTAGAATTGATCTTTAACGTCGTCATTGTAGTCATTGGTAGGTGCATAACATTGGATGACGTTCATTGTAATGTCCTGTTTCTTTGTTTTGAAGGATGCTTTAATGATCCTGGTTCCATGAGATTCCCATCCTATCAGTGCTTTTTGTGCATGTTTGGACAGCATCAGTGCAACTCCTTGTGTATGTGAAGCGTTTTCCTCTTCATGACCAGAGTATAACAGCAGTTCCCCTGAAGCAAGTCTCAGTTGTCCTACCTGTGTCCAATGTGTTTCACTGATGCCGAGCACCTCGAGGTTGTATCTTTTCATTTCTGCCGCAACTTGAAATAGTCTTCCAGTCTCCCACAATGTACGAACGTTCCATGTACCTAAAAAAATGGTTGCTCTGGTTGTCAGAAGAGGCATCGGCCCCGTGACTTCCGAGGGGACTCGGCTTTCATCACGCGACGTCATAATTCTTCCTCCAACTCCCAGGGCAGAGTTAAAATGGTTTGAATTATTTTTTCTGGTTAGCGTTTTTTTGGCAAGTTAGATTTCAACGGAATGGGGCCGCCAACCCCATGTCCAACCCTCCTCCTTTATCCGGGCTTGGGACCGGCAGTAGCCCCTAAGGTTCTACTGGCGGAGTTAACTCTGGAACTAGTTGGAGGTTTAAAAATGTGTATTTGAGGAGAGTTTTCCTCTGAATTCATTCTGTTTACCGAATAACCTAACATGCACAAATGCATCATTCACAACTTATGTGATGAACGTATGCATTCTAAATTATTTGGGACAGAAATGTAGATTGAATGGAAGAGGAGTTTAACTGAACTGGCACGGATTAATATGTGATTTATATGTGATCATTCGTGACATTGGTTATTTAGCGGAGAAAGTCACTACGAGATGGAAGAATGCATGTGGCAGAGTTGTTGATTGACTGTCGTTAGGATACAGGTGCTAGGTAAGGGTGGTAGGTCAATAGATGAAGTATTGAAACTTCATCAGTTGAGGTGGTTGGGACATGTGTTACGAATGACTAACCACCGGCTGCTCAATCGCGATATGATTTGTAGTGTCGCAGTAGGTCGGAAGTTTGTTTCACTAGATTTTACTTCTTGGATATTATCGACTAAACCTTATCCCTTCGATTGTTGCTAATACTTCTTCTACCTCTACTGTTATGGTATTAGAATCGACAGTTGCGTTTGTGTGATAATGTGATATGATAACTTGAATTGATGTACTTACGTAAGACGTCTACTTTTGAACATAAATCAAGTTTTTTGACGCCTGATAACCATGGCTTTGGCACTTTTCGGTAGGCTGGAGTTCGTTTGTTAACTAATCACCTTAAAATCTTTTGAAGTTTCGATTAGAAGTCTTGAGTCCAATTGATATTCAGTTACTATACTAATTCAGGTAGTTCTTTTCAATTTTCAATGACCATTTGAAACATCAATGCGGGAAATGTATTTGCAAAGAAATCTAAACAGTTGAACTGTTAATAAATTTAACTTTTCATTCAGCAATCTGGTTAAAGCTTTTCAAAGTGTGTGTAACCAAACATTGAACTTGATGAAAGTAAGTGCATTGTCTGACAGATTTTCTATGCAGATAATGCATAAGCGATGAGGCTTTGCAAAGTGATTCCGGTAAGTAAATTCTGACCTAGCCAATATACACAAAGAGACCAGTTTGGTTACCTTCAGTAATTTACAGTAACTGTAGTTCATATTTATTAAATAATCATACTAGAGCTATAATACTGATTTTATAGTACTGAGTTTATTTATTGAAATAGGTCTACTGTATGGGGTGAAAACTTGGAGAACTCTCCAAGCCATAATCCACAAGATACAAGCATTTATTAACAGTTATCT